TGCTGGGATTACAGGCATGAGCCACCGAGCCCGGCGCAGGCTCTGTTGATGCTAGGGGAGATGACAGCTGCAGAGAAGAGCCTGCCACCAACTTGGCTGCAGGGACTCCACTGAGCAAAGATAGACAGGCTCAAATACCGCCTAGGTAAGCACAAGTTAACATGGGCAGAGGCGCCCACCCAGGCTCCATGCAGACCTCCAGGAGCCGTGGTATGAGTCACACTGTTGGGCCTCTTGGAGACTCCCTGGGTCAACCCCACCCATGGCTGCTGACAGGCCTCTGCCAGGTGCCAGCAGCTCAGACGTCAATTGTGGCAAGCAGGGCTCCTGACCAAAGTCACTGGTGTGCCACCAAGGAGCAAACAAAACCTGAAGCCCTGGATATGGCCCAGCTCGGGCATCACAAGGCTTAGGCATTGGCTAGTGAGCCCCGTGGGGCTTCCGGGCTCCCCTCCAGTGCATGCAGAGGCACCGTTTTCTTTCCCAACTGCAGGGGCATGATCATAGCTCACTGCCCGATCTGTGTGCGGTGGTGGAGAGGAAGGGTGCTGTGGGAGGTGCAGACAAGGGTATGTGGTTGGTTTTTTTTTTTTTTTTAGGTGGGGTCTCGCTCTGTCACCTAGGCTGGAGTGCAGTGGTGTGATCACAGCTCACAGCAGCCTCAACTTCCTGGGCCCAAGGCACCTAGTCTCACCAGTAGCAGGGACCACAGACATATCACTACCTGGGTGATGAGTGTGGGAAGTGTCAGGAGGAGATGTGGGAACCAGAACTGTGTGCTATCGACACTTTAAGAGAGGGGATCTCTTGTTAATCTCCTGTGCCCAAGCTGGTCAACTCCTGGGCTCAAGCAATCCTCCTCCTGACTTGGCCTCCCAAAATGCTGGGATTACAGGCATGAGCCGCCCCCACTGGCTACTACTGACATTGGAACCTGGACCGGCGAAGGCATGTAAGAGCCTCAGCTTTCAAGAACCTCCTGTAAGTGACTCCAAGTTGGGAATTGTGGTGACATAAGCTCTTTGGGATTCTTGGGAGTTATATCCTGGTGAGCAGAAATTTGGGGAGTGACCACATGCCCTGGATGGCTTGGTGGGCTCCGTCCTTACCTCCTGAGGTCTGTGGCAGCAGGTGCCTGGTTAACTTTTGTTCCTCAGACTTGGCTGGTGTTGGGGGACCTTCAATCATGATGCTTAGCGAGTCTTAGGGGTGGCATCAGCGACAACTACCTCTGTTCAAATGACTAGAACACAGGTACGCTATCCCCGTTGCCCCCCATCCACAGTTCTGTTCTACACAGTTTCAGCTACCTGAGGTCAACCATGGTGAGAAAATATTATAGTATTCTGAGAGAAAGAGATCACATTCACATAACTGTTATTACAGCATATTGTTATGATTCTGTTTTATTATTAATCTCCTGTGCCTAATTTGTAAGTTTCTATTTATTAAATTTGTAAATTATTTATTTACTTAGAGGCAGTCTTGCTCTGTGACCGAGGCTAGAGTGCGGTGGCACAATCATAGCTCACTGCAGCCTCCAGCTCCTGGGCTTAAGCAATCCTCCCACCTCAGCCTCCCAAGTAGCTAGGACCTCAGGTGCGTGCCACCACACCTGGCTACTTTTTAAATTTCTGGTAGAGATAGGGTCTCACTTTGTTGCCTAGGCTGCTCTTGAAATCCTGCCCTTAAATTTATGAGTTAAACTTCTTCATAGGCATGTATGTATAGGAAACAGTGTAGTATATAGGAGGGCTTGGTACTGTCTGCAGTTTCAGGAATCCACTGGGGGTCTTGGAATGTATCCCCTGTGGATAAGGGGGGATTAGTGTAACGTAAACAGTCCAGGAAGTTCGTTGACTCATTGCAGCTAGGAAGTCTAATGGGATTCTCATCATTTGGGTTCCTGGAACCCATCTCTTTTTTTAAATCATTTTCCTTTTTTTTTTTTTTTTTAAGAGAAGCGGGTGGGGGTCTTGCTATGTTTTCCAGGCTGAACCACCCTCAAGTGACCCTCCCACCTTAGCCTCCTGAGCAGCTGACATTACGGGCACGAGTCAGTGCTTCTGGCTCTCCATCTCTTGACTTTGCTGCTGCTTTATTACCTTAAATCTCAGGCCATGTCACCCCATGTGCCCCCTGCAATTCCTGGGTTTTATGGGACTCAGGGTTCAGCTCATCAAACCCACATCTGTTCCTTAAAAAAACTCTGGGTGGCTTTGCTTGGAACCATCAACAGTGTCCAGAGAGAGGACAGACTAATCAGGAGATGAGTGGCCAGAAGTGCCCACTTCTATGGTAGAGGAGGCAGGGTCACATGACATGCAGCCCAGTGAGACGGGAAAGCCCTGCTCTGTGACCTCCAGTCAGGTTCTGTAGGAGAACAGCTGGGACTGGTGCTTCCTGGCAGAGGCCACTGGGGTTCCTAAGAGTGCTCCCACAAAGGCTCAAGAAGGGGGAAAGATGCCAGGCAGAGCCCCTTGCAAAATCCGTGCCCTCTGGCTGCTTTGGGGCCTCCATCAGCCACAGCTTCTGAGCAAGCAAACCATGGTGGCCTGGGCATCAGGGAGGGTGGTGGTGCTGCTCTAGGCAGCCCTCTCAGTGCCCCATGCTGGGTTCAGAATGTGCAAGTGGCTGTGGGCAAGATGAAGGTGGCCCCCAGTCCCCTGGAGGCACAAGGCAGGGGGATTGACATGCAAGCGTCTGTAGTATTTTCCCAACCCTGAATCGGGCGGAGAGAACAAAGGCAGGTATCCACCCCCGGCCCACAGCCCGGGGGCAGCTGAGTGCTCCCTGCATCCATCGCTGCTCCTCCCCTCCCCTCCCAAAATGGACAGGCCCAGGTCCTCAGGGAAAGCTTGTTGGGCATCCTCATGGAGACAGGGCCCTGGGACTCCCTGACTAGCTAGTGGAAATTGGGCTTCTCCTTAGTCAAGGGAAGTAGACAGTGAAACCCCTTCCACCATGTCAACGAATGGGTGGTACTGGCTTTCATCCCGATAGCTGGATGTGGAAGGAATGGCACCTCTTGTTGATCCAAATGTCAGAACACCCAAGGTGCAAGTAGAGGTCAGGTGGGGGCTCCCTAGGTGCCGAAGACCACCTCCTCCAGGCTGACCTTGGCCCCAGTGTGGGCATCCATTGCCCACTATAGCTAGCTCTCGAGGGCACTTACTTCATGCCCCAAGCATGGTCTGGACCCTTTCTGAGTTCTCATAATTACAAGCCACCTGGAAGCAGTCTCGTCACCCAGAAGTTGAGTGAGTACAGATGGCTGGTACTCTAATAACCACTCCCTGTCCCGGAGGCCGGGGAATGACAATGAGTACTAGTGGTGTGTCCGCTAGTCTCTGACCTGCCAGTGGATGCTGCCCTGTCCCCAACCAGTGGGTTCCAGCACCTGCCTGTCACCACGGGTTTCTCAGTGACTTCAGCTGTTCTCTCCTAAGAGGTATCTACCTTTTTCTGTGATCCAGAGAACTATCCAGCACGCCGAGAATGCCCACCTGCCCACTTCCAGCCTCAGAACGATGTCCCCAGTGCAGGAGGTCTCGGGTAGAGTTTACCTGAGAATTGGTGGGGGCTTCTCATGGCTGGAGATTGCCTGCCTAGCCTGGTCCTGCACAGGTAGCAGAGTGTCGGGTTAGAGGCCAGCCTGCCTAGGTCCAATCAAGGCTCTGCAGTCCCTCATGCCACGTGTCTCATTCACCTGTGTACAGGTTTATGAAATAAATCCGGCAGTAGGTGGCCCAGGAATGGACAGTCTGAGAAGTGAGCAATGTGGGGGAGACGGGTTGGAGCAGGAGCGGAAGGTAGAGGAATCGGGCAGTGGCTTCACTTCACCTGCAGTGGGGGACACATCCCCAGCTCTTCCTGACTGATGGTTTGTGACTCACTAGCCCAGGCTGCCTTTTTCCAGGTGTGTATGGATTGTGTCATAGGAAAAGGCTGTGGTCTCCAGGGTTGGCAGAGCCTAGGAGAGCAAGATGGGCAGGGGGAGCAGAGGGCCTGACTGGGGATTCTCCAGAAGTGAAAATCCTCTCCACTGTCTTCACAGCAGCCATCAGGAGCCTCCTCTGCCTCCCAGTGCTGAGCCCGCCTGGGCGTGCCTGAGGGGCTCCCCCACCCGCATGCCTCGGCCCACATCCTTGGGTGGCCACTCACTGCAGTGGACGGTGATGGGGCCTCAGGTGCTGCCCAGGGAGAAGCCCTGGGTTCTCCAGACAGGAAATGGCAAGCTGGGCCGTGAGCAGAAAAGAGTCTGAACCAAATTACTTTTGGGGGCAAAGAAGTGTCAGAGAAGAAGGGCTGAGGAGGAAGACAGGACCCTGTGAGGAGGACCTTCTTGGAAGGAACCAAAGGCAGTCAGTGGAGTCGCAAGACCTGGGTGCTCTGAGTACTTTGAATGAACAAGTAAGAATGAGCCTTTATCATGTGGCCATGATCATCAAGGATCATGTGAGGATGCAGTGCCCACTCACCGCGACTGAAATGTCAACATACGTAAGGGGTAGCTGTGAGTCGCGCCAATGCGAAGGTACCGCTGACTGACTGCTCAAGGCTGGCTGTGAGGCACTTGGCCTGGATGCCTTTGAAGGCTGAGAAGCCAGCCAAACTCCAGGCGAACCAGTCGTCCTAATGGGGTTGAAAGACCGTAAATGGTCTCTCTGTATGGCCGAAACTCCCTTGGCCTTTCCTGCAAGATGGATTTTCACACATTGGACATAACATTATGTCTATTTCATTTTCAATCCAGCATTCGTTGGTGTGGGTCGCGGTTTATCGGTCCCACTTCTTAGGGAGTGTGCTGGTCTTTTCTGCCTTAGAACAGACTCGGGCTCCTCAAGGCTGGAGCTGGGCCAGGCATTTGCTGGGTGCCCAGGCCGTCCGGCTCACGCTCTGCCTCTCGTGCCTCTCCTTCCCTCCTCGTCCTGGCCCCCGAGCCGCCCTTGCCACCCTGCAGTCTCTCACAGCCCCGTTCTTTCTTCTCCTCCCTGCAGGCTGGTGGTTCGTGAGCACCTCTGAGGAGCAGGGCTGGGTCCCTGCCACCTACCTGGAGGCCCAGAATGGTACTCGGGATGACTCTGACATCAACCCCTCCAAGACTGGAGAAGGTGAGGGCTTGCAGGTCCAAGAGGCGGGGGACAACGCGGCCTCTGGGGGCAGCTCTTCCACTCTTCCCCTAGAACCAGCAGAACCCTAAAGTGAGATGAGCCATATCCTGGCCCCTTCCCTTGGATCCCATCTCAGTAAGGCTGGCCCAGAAGCTCACCTCCCACCCCAGTCCAACCCCTGCTGCTCTCTGTCTCAGAGGCTTAAGAACTGAGGGATGGCTCAGACCCCCACACAGTCAGCCTCTCAAATTAGCTTTAGCTCCATGAGGTTTGTTTGCTGTTTTTGTTTTTAGAGACAGACTTTCATCATGTTGGCCAGGCTGCTCTCAAACTCCTGGGCTTAAGCTATCCACATGCCTCGGCCTCCCACAGTGCTGGGATTACAGGTGTGAGCCATTGCACTCAGCCCTTCTTTTTTTTTTTTTTTTTTTTTTATTCTAAACACTTAAAAACTACTCTGTGAGGTTTTTCAGGCTCTTTCTCCGTGCATTTCAAAGAGCCTGCCCCCGTCCCCTGAGCCAGCACTGGCCTGGGCCTGTCTATAGCTTCTGTGCTCCCCAGAGCAGGCTGCCTGAGCCAGTCCGTTTGCGCCACCCCCAGCTCCTGGCTGCCTGCTCCTAATGGCTTCCACACCTCCCATGGCCTGGCTGCAGGAATTCTTTCCCTAATGGTCGGTGGGGATGGTCCAGATGGATGTGTCTGAAAGCCAGAGAGATCGAGGTTGCTACCCGGCGCTCAGGCCACCTCCACGCCTGCTCCCTGCGGCCAGGCCAAAGTAAGCAGCCACCAAGTGCCAGCTCCTTATTCATCCTTCCCCTAAATGTCGGTTACTAGGCGGGCGGTTGGGGCCTCACCCTTCCTCCTATGTTGAGGCTTTATTTCAGCCCCTTGACCAGAGCCTTGGTCCCTGCCTTCTGCATCCACTATGTGGCAGGTTTCCAGGGACGAGGCCCCATTGGGAAGGGCCTGCATGTTCAGGCTAGGCTGCTCCTTGAGCCCTGGGGCCGAGCCTGAACCCGTCTCCCCTCTGGCTCCATTGCATCTCCGCAGCAGAGGAGGATCTTGGCCCCTGAGCTGGGTCTGGTCTCATGCCTGCAGTCCCCAGCCTCACCTCCTACCTAGTTCCACATTCTTTTTCTTGTTATTGGTGTTGAGACAGAGTCTTGCTCTGTCACCCAGGCTGAAGTACAGTAGCACAATGTCAGCTTGCTGCAACCTCCACTTCCTGGGCTCAAGCAATTCTCATGCCTCAGCCTCCCGAGTAGCTGGGATTACAGGCACCCACCACCACGCCTGGCTAATTTTTGTTTTTAGTAGAGATGGGGGTCTCACCATGTTGGTCAGGGTGGTCTTGAACTCCTGACCCCAAGCAGTCTGCCCCCCTCGGCCTTCCAAAGTGCTGGGATTACAGGTGTGAGCCACGGTGCCTGGCCCCTAGTTCCACATTCTATAGGGCATGCCAGGGCCTCTCACAAACAGCAGGGGCTCACAAAGTACCAAAGGTACCAGGTGCTAGGCCAGGTCCTGAAATGCCCTTGCCCCCACCCTGGGAGGACCCTGTGGCTATGACTGTCCCCATCCTTCCAGCTGTGGGAACTGAGGCTTCAAGATGTTTATCAGGTTCGGGCCCTAGTATGAATCACAGCCCCAGTTGAAAAGCCTGCACCAGCAAGGTCAGAGTGGAGCTGTTGGGTCAATTGTGGAGGATCCAGGCACCGAATGGCCAGCAGTCCAGGGCAGGAAAGCACCCAAGGGCAGGGAGCACAGATGCCAGCCTGGATGGAACAGAGGGCAGGTGCCTTACGCAGAACAAGTAGTAATGGGTTGTGCAGGATTTTTACCTTGATGGAGGAGGAATCAGGCAGCAGTGCAGGTTCTGTGTTCAGAGGGGGTGTGTGTGTGTGTGTGTGTGTGTGTGTGTATGTATGTATGCACGCCCAGGGTGATTCTCCTAAAATAGGTTCCTCTGACCCAGCCCGTGTGCCAGCACTCCTGGCAACTCTTCTAGATAGCTGTGGATTCCACCATCATGTCTTGGGTACTTCCCGCTCAGATCTAAAGAAAGGCTTGGGGATGGGTCCCCTGGGCCTAAGGCCCCAGCTGCTGTGGTGTGTCCACCAGTCTCTCTGCACCTGCAGCCACGTGGCCAAGAGATTGGCCACCCTAGTTCCCTCTCCGACCATCTCTACCCTGGCACTGTGGCCATCCCATCTTAGGTGCCCTGAGCCCTGTGGATAGAAATTGGAAGCCTGCATCCTATCAAAGCTTTCCTAATAGCTCATGCTTCATTACGTTGGGAAGAAAACATTAGTAGCTGTTCCCATTTGTCCTTACCATGAGACCCTCTGGCGCATGTTCATGCTGCCCTTGAAGCCAGGTGTGCTGTGGAAGTTTAGTACATTAGTAGCAAGGGTGGGAGTTGAGACTCTCGTCCACCGACAGAGGTGCGGGTCCAAGCCTGACATTCGCAAGGTGGTTCAGTGAACCAGGAGAGGTGTGTCACCTCTGCCAAGCCCTTGGGTTCGTTTGTGACAGAGCCAAGACCAGAACCCAAGTCTCTGCCTTTGCTCCTGTGTCCCACACCTACCAGTGCAGACCTGCTTCCTCCAGGGTAGGCTCATACTGGGACATGGACAGACCACGGTCTTCTGGGCTCCTGCACCAAGGGCCTGTGCCCTGCTAGTGAGTGGATTCCTCAGCATCCAGACCCTGTCCCCTTCCCACATCCCCCTCTTCCCAGGGCTTGGCAGCTCAAGGGGCAGCAGAGTTAGGGGAAGAGCAATAGCTCGGGGTATAGAGTCTATGGTAAGAGTTTGGGCTTTGGAACCAGGTTGCCTGGATTCATGTTCTGCCTGGATCCGTAGACATGAGATCCAGAGTGTTCCTTAAAGCCCTGTGCCTCTGTTTCCCCATTTGTAAGATGCCAACCACATAGGGCTTTTGTGAGGCCCAAGTGAGATGATCTTTGTACTTAACTGGGCCTGGCACACAGAATAAACGCCACTTACTGTGAAAGCAGCCCCTGATCTGGACACAGCTGAGCCCCTCCATCTCTCCGGAGGAGCCCTACACACCTGTTCCCCCTCCCCCCACCCTGCCAGGAGGCCTTGATTAATGTTCCTCAGAGCCCTTTCAGCCCCTTGACTAGGCTCACGCCAGGGCAGGTGAGGAGAGGCTTAGAGAGGGATGGCCGCCCTCCCAGAGTGACACAGGTTGCTGGCAGTCGGGCCTGGACTGGAATCCACACCTCCTATCCTTCTGTCCAGCCTTCTTCCTTATGAGAGCAGGTCAGACAGGTTCCTCTCCTTCCAGGAAAGCAAATGCTTTCCCAGGGCCTTGGTGGGTCTGCGACAGTTTTATTTTCACTCCAGCCACTGGCCGGGCAGCCTAGTACCCTCTTTCTGTGGTGCCAGGAAGTGAGGCTAGCTGGCACCCTGGAGCCCTGGCCCAGTGTCCATTCTACTGGGAGTCCCACAGGAAGACAGAGGCATCTGTAGCTGGGGTCTGAGCAGAGGGTTCAGGGGGCTTGGAGCCGAGCAGCAGAACCTGGAGCAGTGCGGGATGCTGCCCAAGAGGGCACGGGGTCAGGAGCAGTGAGAAGCTGGGGAGGGAGCCCCTGTTGCCCACCCTTGTGTCATTCCGTTCAGCAGGCACTTCCTGGGACCCAGCCATGTGCTAGACCCTGGGAATGCCAAGACATGGGGCAAAGCTCTTGCCCTCAACAGACTCATCCAGTGGGGACAGGCAAGAAAGCAAAGACGCAAGCCAACCCAGAGAGGTGAGAGCTCTCAGCCCCTCGAGGAAGGGATCCAAGTCTCTCTTGGGCACACTGCTTCTTCCCTGCGTCACGGTGCCCGTCCAGGGTAGCGTGTTCACAGTCAGTCCTTGGTGAGCGAGTGGACGTAAGCACAGATGTTGCACGGCCCCTAGCCCTCCTGGGAATCGGCACCGTCCAGCAGGGAGGGACACTGATCTCACCATCCCCGGAGGCTGCAGCTGAGGGGCTGCCTTGCACCGGGCTGGAGCTAGGGACCTCTTTGTCTCTAAGGTGCTGGGATTATAAAGGCTTGAGCCCACTCCTAGGCTCAGGGGCACACACTGGGGAGTTTGGCTTTAGTTGAATTTTTTCCCCATGTTCCTAAAATCACCTGTCATATCTGCCCCCATCCAACAGGGGGGTGCCCTCCGGTTCAGTCCAGGTGATGGTGAGCTGGAAGTGCGGGCCTCCCCTCCCTGTGCCCCTTCCTCCTGCCCCCATCCCATCTCATGCTCATCTCCATTCTCTCCGCCGGTTGCTGTTGGCCGCATGCTCCATCGCCATCTCCCACACCAGTGTCCAAGAGACGCAAGGCCCATCTGCGGCGCCTGGATCGCCGGTGGACCCTGGGCGGGATGGTCAACAGGCAGCACAGCCGAGGTGACTGCGGGAGCTGGCTTCTCCTCCCTCGCAGCGACCGCCTGTCTCTCGCTAACACTGCTCTTTCTTTCTGGGCTCTGCTCTCTGCCCTGTGACCTCCTCATTCACCCAGATTCCTGGGCCAGGCTTTTTTCTCATCTACTGCAGCTGGTGCGGGGTGGGCCTGCTTGGGAATTGGGCTGGCACTGGGGATGGCTCTGGCTTTTGTCAACATCCTGGGTTTGAGGGTCATGGAACACAGTTGTGGGTTCCCTGAAAGGTACAGGGGCTTGAGGGGGATAAGGGAGTCTTGGGGCATTCAGGAAGGGCATACTGACCCTGGAAGCTGTAGATTAAAGGAGCTAAGCACGTCTAGCCCTCTGCTTGGGCCATCCCACTCCCCCATCCTTCATGGCCTCTGTCCTCTGAGAAAAGGCTCCCTCGGCCAAAGTTGTCTTATCAGTTGCTTGGGAACAAAGCAGAAAGAAGGACCAGCTCACACTCGTGCTCCTCCCACCAGCTCCACAGAAACTAGAAAGGGAGCAAAGCCAGACCCAGCCTGGCACCAGGGTGCAGTCCAGTGGCCTCTGCTGAGGGGTCAGGTTCAGCCAGAGGTAGTAACTGCTGGGGCTTCAGGAAGGGCCTGATCCAGGGGAGTCCAAGGGAGCTCCAGGCCTGGCACATGGGCTGATCAGATGTTTGGGGGTTTAGCGTTTTCTCACCCGGGATCTTTCTAACATTCAGGAACTTGGGAGGTAAGGGAGCAGAGCAAACCCCCAGGGTGGGCCGCTGAATAAACCCCTAAACATCTGCAGACCCCCTGAACCAGGGGTTGGCCAGCCCCACGTAGAACAGGGTGTGTGTGCTGCTCTCAGTGACGACACAGAGAGGGGTATGTCATAAACTCTGGAACGCAGGGACACCCCATGCCCCCACCCTCACAGCTTGGTTCTAAATGACCATAAGAGCATGTTTTGGTGTCTGCCCCAGGCCCAAGGCAGAAGAAAGCCTGGACTCAGGTGGCTCCAGCCTCTGGCTGGCTCAGCATCAGGCACGGAGCACTGGCCAAGAGGAGTACAGCTTGTCCCGAGGGCAGGGCCTGGGCTGAACCTGTGGGCTGACGCAGGGCTGGGGACCGAGTTGTAGAAGCAGCAAGAACAGGCCAGACATACTGCAAAGGCCGCCCTAAAGCTGGGATGCAGCCCAAGCTTTGGTGGCAGAGAGTGGGATGGAGGTCTGACCTGCTCCAAACACCCTCGCACACTGGGCCCCAAACGCGACCATCTCTACAACCCCCCAAACACACGCAGCCAGGGAAGCTCCACCACACACACAGCCCTGATGGCCACAGGTATGACTGCGTGCCCTGTCATAGCCAGCCTCCCCGACACCAATGCCTCCACAGTCCCAGGCTCACAGCCACTCAGAGGTACAGTTATGCAGCTACACATACACTGTGCTGTGTGTCTGCTGTTTATAGTCACAAATGCATCGTACGCACAACTGACTGCTCACAGCCACGCCACCTGTACCTCCGAAGGAGCCCTCACAGGGATACGTACAGCTTACGCAACGCCTTGCACTACATACATCCCAGTCACAGACATACAGTGACACGTGGAGACACAAATATGCAATGAAATGCCTCATTCTTGGTCCTAAGAATTGTGAGCAAAATATAAGCCCCCAGCTCTTGTGCTCTTTCACTCTCTCAAATAAGAGACCTAAACAACATGATTTCCCAGCCTCAGCCCGATGGGCTAAGTTAAACCAGGCAGCCAAGAAAAACTTGCAGAGAGTTGGCTGGGAGATGCTTGCTGCAAACAGCAGAGCTGGTGGGGGAGGCAGGCTGCAGGTCGTGGTGGAGCTAGACAAGAGAAAAGCTGAGCTTCCCCATGGCCTCCGCTCCCGTTCCCTCAGCCAGCCAGCCCCTTGGAACCAAAAGGCCTTTCTCAGTGGGGTTGGGTAAGTTGTGGGGGCAGGAGGGGAGTGGGGAGAGTGCTGACAGAGGGGAAAGTGTCGGGGAAAGGAGGCTTCTGTGGTTTGGAAACAGCAGAACATCCAGCCCCTGCCTCCAAAACCAAAGCAGGCCTGTTCCCATCCCCCACCCACCCACCCGGCTGACCGTCTGGCCAGCCCTCCCCAGGGCAGGCTGCCACTGTCTTCTGGTGGCGTGGTCAGAGTGCCCACAGCCCCAGTGCTTCCCAGAAGCCCTGAAGAGCTCACGGCCTCCCTTCCCTCAACCCCATATCCGAAGGGACATCTCTTCCAGAGACCCTAACCACCCTGAGTCATGCAGCTGCCCGCTGAGGCCATGTCTGTCTGTCTGGGCCTTCTCTTGTCTGGTGCCCCTGGTTGGCATTTGTGGCCCAGGCAAGTGCCTCTTTCTTAGGACACCTGTGAGTTGGAAGGCCGGAGACCCACAAGGCCCATGTCCACATGGAAAGTCCATGCCTCTGCCATCTGAGCCAACTGGGTAGAAACCCAGGAGCTGGGAAGACCTGGTCTGGCTGCCTTGCCCTGCCAGGCAAGAGGGCTCTTGAGTTCTCATCCCTGGAACCTGTGCAGGACAAGCTTCCTAGCCAGGAGTTCTCAGCAGCAGCGCGTGAACTCCTGGACATCTGTGGCTGCTACAGCCCCAGGACCCCCAAGAACCTTTTGCAGGAGCAGCTCAACTTCACCAGCCAGAGCTGATATCCCTGGTTCTGCCCCAAGAGGTCAGGAGAACGCCTAAGCTTACATGGCCCACAGGATTCTGTCTTCCGTGCACCCCAGGAGGCTGCGAAGGCTGGGGCTGGGCCCTGGCGGCCTAGGAGGCTGAGCCCACATGAGATGGTCTAGACCCTGTTCTCTGCCATGAGGCAGGCAGGGCTCCTCTGATCTTCCCACGAGAAAGGCTGTCATTTCTCCCTGCAAATACAACCTTGCCTAGGAAAACCTTAATGATGGCTTCCTGCTCGAACCACAGACTTTAAAAATAGCCCAGCTGAACAAAGGCAAAATGTGGAGCCCAGGCCTCGCCTCATCCTAACCTCAGAATCCTGGATTCCCGGAGCGTGGCGCTGCCCCTCTGGCCGCCACTAGGCCAGGATTTGCCATGCCTCACTGGAAAATGGAGCAGAACCAGGAGCAGGCAGGAGAGTGGAGAGTTGGACTGTGGAGGCCTGAACTTCTCAAAGGGCCGAGTCAGAATCTGGCTGGGCAGGGTTCTCAGGCCGCCTTGGCAGCAGTCCGAAGCATGGTTGGGTTGGAATCTGAAACGCTCCAGAGTAAGGCCCTCCCTGAGTTGATGCTGACCAAGTTCTGCAGCAGAGAAGGGTGTGCTGAAGAATCCTGCAGGCTCCATGGGTCATCACCCACCTTCTGCTTTTGGGCAGCAATCTGCATTTGGCTAGTAGCCCATCAGTTCCATTCTTGCAGCCCGGCCAGGCAGCCACAACCACCCCAAAGGGAACTGCTATCTCGGCTCAACACAGGGCTGCAGACAGGACCTGATAATCCAGGGGAGAGTGGACAGATGGCCCTCCTGCAGCTGGGGGTTGGGGTGCTGCTGCCTGCCACCCCCAAGACAGCCAGTCTCAGGCAGGCTGCCCGGCAGCATCCAGCCGAGGAATCCAGGGGGTGGCTGTCACAGCCGGGAGCTGTGAGAGGTGGGTGTCCCAGAGGCCAGAGGCCAGCAGTCTGCACCAGCATCCTGCTGTTTTGAGCTCACAGCGCTTCCCATCAGTACCCTTGCTCAGTACCCTTGCTCAGTCTTGCCTGGTCATGATGCAGTCAACAGTCTCCCACTGTTTGCCAGGCACTGTCTCGACCCCGGGGGAGCTCCCAGGCCAGAGAGGACAACATGGGCTCAGGGTGACCCTCCAGACGGGCATGGCCAGACTGCTGCTGCTTCCTCCTCCTGTCTTAACTCCTTGTTCCCCCAGAGGGTGAGGTGGGGGTGTGTTCCACCCCAAGCAGACCTCTACAGAGGGTGTCAGCCAGGAGGCAGGGACTCCTGAGCCAGCCAGCTAGAAGCAGAGCCAGGGAGTACTCAGCTCTGGGGTCTACCTATGAGGGGTTTCCTGTGACAGGCAGAGCTGGACCTCAGCAGGCATGGAAGAAACACCCTCCTGAAAGCCAGATCAAGGACCCAAGAGGGTGGCATGCAGGCCTCCTGCCAGGAGGGAGGCTGAGAGAAACCAGGGGAGACAGCGTGGTGCCCCTCTCCCCCCACACCTGCCCTCCCAAGCCTTCCTGAGAGTCTGCAAGGCACTTCTTCCCCAGCGCCTAAGGAAGACCTTGAGCAAGACCCTGAAGTGACATCCTTGGAAATAACAGCAGGCTGCCCTCCAGAGGAGCTGTGCCTTGGCTGCGTGCTTGGCACAGCATGTCCTGCAGAAGCCACTTGGGTAAACCGGACCAGTAAGGGCCCCGAGGTGCTGCCTAATTGTGCTGTGCTGGGTGTTCCCACGCTCATTTGGCCATCGAACCCTTGTCTTCACAAAACACACATAACCGTTCCCATGAGACTTGGGTTCCGTGGACTCCTCTTGGGAGATTACGTGACCAGGTGTTCATGGATAAGCTGGGTGCTCAGGGAAGGCTTCACCAAGGAGGTATCCCTAGAGCTTCTGCAGGTCAGACAGAGGAAGGATGCAAGCAAGAGGCTGAGCTGGGGGCAGGGCTAGGAAAGTCTGTCTGGGACACAGATGGAAACAGCACATTTCAAGGAGAGGTGGTGTGCCATGGGGCCACAGGCATGCGAGGACACCTCAGGAGGGGTTGGCTTCTCCTAATCCTGCCCTCAGCCCAGCAAGCTTCTGCAGCCCTGTGGACTGCACGGTCCCGGCAGCCTTGCTGCCATTATCAGGCTAGGAGAGCCAACTCCTTGCTCCCAGGGCCTTGCCTGGCAACCTGAGTCCTGGCAGGCTTTGGCATACACTGGGAACAGCAGTAACCCCCTACTGCCATGGTCTCCCTGCTGCCACATCTGGGGCCTGGTCCTTCCCTCCCCTGGAAAAGCCAGAGCCAACTCAGTGCGCCTTGGCAAGCTGCTGAGCAACGGCCAGGCCAGGGCAGGAGGAGGGGACAGGAAGCAGGACCTCCACCCTGACATCACATAATCTTGCTTTCTTGCTCCCACCCCCAGAGGAGAAGTATGTCACCGTGCAGCCTTACGCCAGCCAAAGCAAGGACGAGATTGGCTTTGAGAAGGGCGTCACGGTGGAGGTGATCCGGAAGAATCTGGAAGGCTGGTGGTATATCAGGTAGGGAACATTTGGATGAAAGAGGTGCCTCTCACCCACCCGGGCCCTGGGCAAAGTGCAAAGTGGCTGTGGCCACTTGATGGCAGGTAGATACTGACAGCCTTGTGCCCATGGCACAGGGCTGGCTGCTCCACCTCTGCTCAGCTGAACAGCTCAACCAGAGAGTGCTCATCTTGCACATTTTCTCCCGGGACACACAAAGCAGGGCTTGAGCCATAGCCAGCGGGGCACAGAGGCCCCGGCTCAGCTTGCAGGCTGTGGTGCAATCCCTTCCCACGCATCTGCCAAGAGTTGAGCACATCTGAATTTCGTTTTGTGTGTCCGGCCTTGGCTGCCTGGAGCACTGGCGTCCGCAGGCCTTGCTGAGGTCCCAGCAGGCGGCCTCTGCTGCCCAGGCTCAGCACCCAGAGAGGTAGGCTGTGGGGCAGGGGTGGGCACAGATGCAGGCCTCTTGCAGCAGCCATGTCCCTGGTGGATAGGGACTGGCCGTCCAAACTGCAGGGATGGTTGCAAGGGCTGGAGCAGAAGTCAGGCCTCAGCTCAGGCCATCAGAGGCTTCTTCCTTCTCTTGCTCCTCCCTCTCCCAGGCCTAATCATAGTTCCCAGCCTAGAATCCTATTTAAGGGTGTGGGTAGGGAAGTGGGGTCTTTCCTGATCTTCTGGGAGCCAACAATCCTATTGATTTCACTCACCATTGCCCTGTCAGGACCCTTGCTCTCAGGAAATGCTTTTGGCATCCTTGGAACTGGCTCAGCTGTGATGACTGCCCACCTTCTGTCTTCTCTGCCACTTACCCAGCTGACAGAGATAGTTCCATATCCATGGGCTCTGGGGACCCCAGACCTATCGTGGGCAGGACATGCATTCTAGGTGGTTTCCCAGAGGGGACGGGATTGCGCAGTGGCATCACCATGCCCCAGGCAATGCGAGTACTCATGCGACAGTTACTCAGAACATGGTACAACGTGATGGCTTTAAAGCCTAGTCCGTGCTGAGGTCAGTGGACATATGGAGATAGCACCGTAGTGTGACCTGATGGAACATGGCTCCATCACACTCGCCACCCCCGCTGCCCCTACCCCGCCTCACCCCCAGAGCCCTGGTATGTATCAATCAGGAGGGCTGAGACGTCCCTTTCTGTCCCATTGGGTGGGATGGGACTGTGCATCTGGACATGTGTTGTCGAAAGCCACTGCCCCTAGACTTTTATGTTCTCTAAGCAATGGAAACTAGAGCCAACCCAGTAATCTGCCAGCCACGAGTCTCACATGAGAAAGCCAGGAAAGATTCTGGCAGGCTGGTGGCCTAGCTCACTTGCCTGGTGCTTATCTACAAGGCTGCTTCATTTTTTTTTTTTTTTTTTTTTTTTTTTTTAAGTTTTCTAAAATAACCAACAAAGTCACTCTGAGCTCTTCTAGTCCATTCCTGTCCCCATGGCCTCGTGTTACAGCCAGCAGGAGCTTGGACTGAGAAAACCCTGCTGAAAGGATTCCACCTTAAGAAGGCTGCCAGACACCCCCTTAAATATGCCATTTCCCAACATTCCAGGCTCTGCGTTGATCCTCATTTCCTTTCTTCTCCTCCCCACAGCCCTACACACACATTCTCTCTCTCTCTCTCTCTCTCTCTCTCGCTCACTTGCTCACTCTCCATCGCGCCCTTTCCAGCTTGCTTCCCTCTGGAGTCATTTCGTTCTCCAGAGCTGGAAAGCAGATGTGAGCAGAGCTGGACCCAGACACACACAGCCATTCCTGATTCCCTCGCGTTTCTTCTCCTGAAATCTGATTTTACCCATGTAGCACTGAAGAAACGCAAATAGGAGCACTCGGGGCCCTAAGCAGGCCTGACCGTCACCTCATGAGCCCCCTCTCCCCATAGCTCTACAGTGTCCATGTAGAAGAACCATCAGCGAGGGCCAGTGGGCTCATCTTTGTCTCTTCTCCAAGATGCAAGAGCACCAGGCTGTGGGCCAGATGCTGCTAAGAGCTCGCTGTGTGACCCTCTGCTGCCTGCTTTGCTTTTCTGAGCCACGGCTGTTGGCTCACATGAATGTTAGGTATTTTTACTAGATGCTCCCATCCACCCTTAAAATTCTGTGCTTCTGTTTGCACTCATTTGCACTCAAGACAGGCCCCTGACTCTCACCCACGTGTAAACGCTCCTCAGCCTCCCAAGCCCTGGGAAGCCAAGCTTGGGTCAGGCTGCCTGCACATTTGTGTCATGAATGTAAGAAGCCACCTCCTGCCTGCACTTTTTCCGCAAAGCTCAGACATGTCGATAGGAACTTCAGCTTTCATATTCCTTTTCTCCCACCTAATGAGTGTCCAAGAACAAGGTCAGATCAGGGAGACAGGGAGGTTTTCAGACATCTGGCATGGAGGAGCCATTCCAAAGAGCCAGATGTGTTCTAGAGAGCAGATGGGGACATTGCAACCCAGACCTGAGGGTATTGGCCAACAACTACTGGACCAGGAAGTGAAGTCCCCATGGGTTTGGGTGAAAACTCAACACCATGGGGAAAAAAGGAAAAGCTTGTTTTCAGAAATCATCGAATCACCAGAAATTAAGTCAGCCCTATGATTTGCCTTTGGCCTTTGTTTATGAGCTTTTGGTTTTGTTTCCTTTTGTTTTGTTTTTGTTTTGCTTTGGTTTGCATTTCATCTAGTCATGTGCTTTTGTCTTTTCACTTAACGGTTTCTGCATTTGGAGCCCCACGTAGACTTTCTCAACCTCCAGCAATATGTCAATCTTGTATTTCTTTATTCTGCTATATGGTGTAAAGCCAGTGTCTGTCTTGTTTTTCCTAACTGGGTCATCAGTTTTCCCTAGACCACTTACTATGTTTTTGGAGATAGGGTCTCACTCTGTTGCCCAGAGTGGAGTGCAGTGGCACGATCATAGCTCACTGTAGCTTCAAACTCCTGGCATCAGGCAATCCTCCCACCTTAGACTCCCGAGTACCTGGGACTACAGGTATGCACCATGACACCCAGCTAATTTAAAAAAAAATTTTTTTTTTTTTTGGTAGAGACGAGATCTCACTATGTTGCCCAGGCTGGCCTCAAGTGAGCCTCCTGCCCCAGCCTCCCAAAGTGCTGGAATTACAGGTGTGAGCCACCTCGCCCAGTCCCCAATCATTTATTGAATAATGCATCCTTGTTCCACTACATTAAATTGAGCCTGGCTTCCGAACGTGGTCTGTGACAGTCTGTAGAGGATCCACCTACTGTCCCTGCAGCGGCACCACAGCTCTCCCATTCAGTCAGCCTTCTTTGGAGACATCTTAGTTGATCTCAATGTGTCTGTCCTTCTGGATACATTTTTAACAGTGACTCTATCCCTACATCTTGCAGAAGAGAGACAAACTGAGCTCCAGGGAAGGGACTTGTGCGGGGTGCCATAGACTAGAACTCAGACTGCCTGACTCTCACCTGTGGAATCAATTCCCTCTCTAATCCCTCTTCTTCCTACAGGGGATTTAACTCTACATACCAAATCCACACCTTCTCATTTCTTACCTCTCCAGTTCTCCTCAACTGATTGGGAAGTAGCAGGCCATTATGAAGTCCTCCTTTGGGGCAACCCAAAAGTTGATAGATCTCATCCCAAGCTCCCACGTTTGCCTGACTTTGCAGAGAGTGAGAGCCCACCCCAAGAGAGATCAGGCAAAGAAAAAGGAGCGCGGTGGGGGCAGGCAGTGGGAACTGGTGTTCTGGGTCTTTTCCACCTACCCTCGGTGCCATTTCTCTCCAGAGCCGTGGGATTGCCAAGCCTTGCAGAACATGGTAAGGAAGGCTCCGCTGGGCAAGGCCAAATGGATCCTAGGGTCTGGGAGTGGGTGTGAGGTCATCCTGCTCCTCCCCACAGATACCTGGGCAAAGAGGGCTGGGCGCCAGCATCCTACCTGAAGAAGGCCAAGGACGACCTGCCAACCCGGAAGAAGAACCTGGCCGGCCCAGTGGAGATCATCGGGAACATCATGGAGATCAGCAACCTGCTGAACAAGAAGGCGTCTGGGGACAAGGAAACCCCACCAGCCGAAGGCGAAGGCCACGAGGCCCCCATCACCAAGAAGGAGATCAGCCTGCCCATCCTCTGTAATGCCTCCAATGGCAGCGCCGTGGGCATCCCTGACAGGACTGTCTCCAGGTTGGCCCAGGGCTCTCCAGCTGTGGCCAGGATTGCCCCTCAGCGGGCCCAGATCAGTAAGAGACTCTCTCACCTGGGTCCTCACTGTAAAGCTCCTTAGAGAATGAGCATGGGTGCATGGAAGTGGGTTGGGGGGAGGGTGCAGGACCCCCATGGCATTTTCCTCCTGGGCTACAGACTGGCCTTTGACCCGCACTCTGTCAAAATGTGTCATGCTCATCACAGGAGTAGGAAGGCAGAGGAGTATGATGACTCAGGGGCTCCCATCTGCTCCACAGAAGCTAAGTCACATGAGGATGTGGGTGATAGCGTTCCCCGCTTCTCTACTGGAGAGCCACCAGTGGTTACTCTGCAGATACACGTGTTCCAAGAACAAGAAACATATCTTTTCCTTATAGTAAACGCTTTATAAGTCTAGATAGATGATATGTAGCTGACTTTTTAAAAAAAATCAAAAAGACACATTTCCCTAGGCTATTGAATGTGGGCACTATATGCACGGCTGCTCTGGAGTGACAGTCTAGAGAAACCTCTTTCTGGGCCTTAGCAGCTCCTTCCCCATGGCTTTACCACTCTGCACAGGCAGTTTCAACAGGGTGTTCTTCAAGAATCACCTTTGTTCCTATAGGAGACTCCGGGCAATCTGGCACCCTCCATCTCTGGCCCAATATTCCCTTTTGTCGTGTCTGAAAACTTCTGTGTTATAGGAGCCTAGCTTTTGTTTGTGTCCAGCCATTTTTAAAATCTGGAGGAAAGCTGTTCTTTAGTTTTGCTCCACTAGGTTAAGTTCGCTCTCATGCCCGAAATCTTTTAGGCAACCAACTGGAAACAGTTATTGGGCACTGCCCCCGCTGGGCACTGTGCTAGCTTCTATGGATTCAATAGCGAGCAAAAAAGAGACATGGTCTGTGCTCCTAACATTTAAAATCTGATAAAGCTATACACCTTTTACCCTGAAAAATGCCCACATATCTGCACATTTTGAAAAGTGCCCATAATTGTAGAGGGTTCATAGATTCCCCTGGCAGCACAGCCAAGGTAAAGGTCTACAGTTTCCCCTTGAAGAAGCCCAACTATAGTGCCCATAGTAACTTAGAGCGTCAAGTCCTTCATGAAGGCTGAGCAAAAGCATGAACTTGCAAGGATCCGGAGTTAGTTTCACCTAAGGCAGGCAGGTATAGGCACCGTTGCCCATTGTCTGACTGGGATTACTGAAGCCATGTCTCTTCTAGGCTCCCCAAACCTACGGACAAGACCTCCACCACGCAGGGAATCCAGCCTGGTATGTGTACTGAATTTCTCCTCGCTTTCCTTCCTATTCTGTGGATGCACTATAGCCGCCTGATCAACTATCTTGCTGCAGAGCCTTTTGATCCAGGGGTTTTCCAGGGCCTTGCTGGGGCTTCTAGTTTTGTGGAGCTGGGGGCAGGGAGGGAAGCCTGCAGATACCAGCCTTCCTGGGGGCCTGGCTGGACAGTTTATAATCGGAAACATACTGCACTCCAAAGCTAAATAAATCCATCCCTCCCACTGCATTGGCAGACATAAACATTTAGACTGCCCGGCAAAAGTGTCCAGCCGGGGCATTGCCAGGGGCTGGAAATGGGGCTGCTGTCCATGCTAGCCTGGATGCCTTTCAGCTTTCCCTGGTCAGGAATGCCCAGTGGAGGTGGTGGATGTCAGAGTCTGGGAGGGCAGAGGGCAGATCAGTGAGCGTCTTCCAGGGAGGAGTGTGAGTGACCAGGACTGGCTCATGCCCAAGCTTCGAGAGGTTAACACTGCCAGGGTCCCTGGCCCACGTGGATAGGGTTTCCTGGTGTCCAGACCCTCATGCAGGCAGATATGCAATCAAGGGCCGGGGCTTGGGTGCCTGCAATGCTGGTGGCAGGCCAAGAGCCCTGGAACAAAGAACCGTTAGTAGGTGCAGGGGGATGTAGTGGAAAGAGTGGGTCTTCAAGAGCGCCAGGCATGGATTCCTGTTCCACTGCTGACACTGAGAGGCAGAGAGACTGTAGGTAAGTCACTTGCCCTCCACAAGTTTCAGTGCCCTTATTTATCAGGCGGGACAGTACTAGCCATCTCCTCGGGCTGCTAAGTGTGAAATGAGAGGATGTCTGTGGAGGGTTAGCCATCGGGCTTCCGTTTCCTATGTCCCCTCTGGCCTGCTTGGTAGTACTACCTGGTGCACTGGGTTAAGGAGGATTCTGAAGTCACATCTGGGCTGAGCAGCAAGAGTTACCGTGGTCAGTGACATCGGCCTTGGCTAGGGGGCATCAGTCTGTGGAAGAGTAGGCCCTCCTTAAAAATACAGTTTTTAAAGATTTCATCCCTGGAAATGAGACCCTCCTTGTCCTGGCCATGGGGCCCACTGGGGTTTCTCTTTTTCCCCTTGCGTTTTATATGCCCAAACACTGTATTCTCCCTCCCTATCATCTCTTCTAGTCACGGCTAATTATTTTCAGGCAGACTTGATTTTGGCAAGAATGGGGTAATTCCTTCCACACTTACCAAATGCAGGGATTGCTGAGGCAGGGCTGCTGTTTCCAGTTAGGTCCAGCTGAATCCCACCTGGCCAGAGATGTGGCCTGTGCTGTGTCTACGCCGTATCTGTGCACATGCACGGCTGCACAGCCAGGCCCTGGGGCCAGGAAGGGTGGCAGATTCTCACCCGATCCCTCAAACCAGCTTCCTCCCAGCCCTCACTCACTCTGACCCAGCTCAGTTTCAACTGGCAGGGTTAGGACATGCAGAGTCTTGAAGGATGAGGAAGGCTGGGAAGAAGAGTTCAGGAGGAGTGCTAAGCTCCCGCTTCTATTTATTGAGATCTCTCTCTGCCCCTGGCCAAGCCCAAAGTGTTGCACATTATCTCAGGGATCCTCTTCATGATGCTGGTATTAGCTCCATTTTACAGATGAGAGAACTGAAGTTCAGAGAGGTCAGGGGCTTTGCCCAGGGCCACCCAGCTGGCGAATTGCTGGGATTGGAATCCAGGGCCAAGGTTAAGATCTTTCCAGGTCTTCCTACTACACCAAGCTGCTTCTCATCCCCTCGTCCCTCCCACCTTTTTTTTTTTTTTCCAATTGATTTATTTGAACCCCTTTGCATGAGGGAGGACATAAATAGCAGGGTACAAAGTCTATTTTAGCTGAGTAGAGACGAGACCATTGAAGCAAAAATGTATAATACCCAAGGACAAGGGGTTGTCCATTTGGTTTCCTAGTGAGTGCTCAGTGCCTTAGAGCAGTGTCTGGCACCCAGTAGATGCACAACACACAGTTGTTAAACGAATGGGTGAAGCTCACAAACCATGGGCAAAGGCCAGCTTCTAAATGTCCTTGAATGTCATGCTTAGATGCTGCTGTGCCAGTGTCTGAAAAGCGTTGAGTATCTCCAGTGGGTTCTGCCCTGCCCACAGAATATTGCGAGTTTTATTTAGTGCCTATCTGGCCTCGTCATGATGACCAGCTAAAGACTTTGCTCAGCCAACTGTACTGCCGCGTTACACACCTACCCCAGACTAGAGACCACTGTGCTCTTCACCCTGCCTGTGCTGCCAAAGTCCCAGCTGCAGCCCTCGCCCCTAGACTCCAGGACAGTGGCTTTTCGTCCTCTCCCACAGCAATGTGTAAGGGCTTTTTTAGAATGATTTCTCTCATTTTATTTTTTAAATTCATTTTAAATTCAGAGACACTGTCACTCAGGCTGGACTGCAGTGGTCTGATCGTGGCTCACTGCAGCCTCGAGCCCCTGGGCTCAACCTATCTTCCTGCCTCAGCCTCCTGAGTAGCTGGGACCACAGGTGCATAGCACCATGCCCACCTCATTGTTTTGTTCGTTTTGTTTTTAGAGATGGGTCTGTTTGCCTATGCTGGTCTCAAAACTCCTGGCCTCAAGCAGTCCTCCCACCTGGGCTTCCCAAAAGCACTAGGATTACAGGAGATTTCTCTTTTTTTCATTTTGTGACTCAGCTATTGAGGCATCTGAAAACTTGACCTCCAGAGATGTAAGATTAAAAATTCCTGTCTTAAAAATGAGCATTCTGTGCTGGGCATGGTGGCTTATGATGTAATCCTAGCACTTCGGGAGGCTGAGGCAGGAGGATTGCTTGAGCCCAGGAGTATGAGACCAGCCTAAGCAACATTGCAAAGCACTAGCTCTACTTTTGTGTCTCTTTTTTTTTTTTTTTTTTTTTTAAGCAAATTCCTCCAGATCCTGAGAGAGGCCATCTCTACCAAAAAAAAAAAAAAAAAAAAAAAAAAAAAAAAAAAAAAAAAAAAGGTCTGGTGATATGTGCCTATAGTCCCAGCTACTGGGCAGGCTGAGGTGGGAGAATCACTCAAGCCCAGGAGATGGAGGCTGCAGTGAGCTCTGATTACTCCACTGCACTCTAGCCTGGGTCCCAAAGCAAGATCCCGTCTCAGAGTGATGATGATGATCACAGTAATAGTAATGTGAGCATTTTGATAGCTCAGGCAAGCCTCCCGTGAATCCTGAGTATGAGAAGGCCTCATCAGAGCAGTCCTCTGGGGGTATACCCCGAGACTCTGGTGATAGATATGCACTTAGGCTAGCTGGTGTAAACGGCCATCTGCACCTCCTGGGGACTGAGTGGGGGGGACCAACACTTGGCCATGTTACTCTTCTGATTTGGGCGGGTTTTGCCCGCTGTGTGTTCTTCAACCTTAGGGGTTCCAACTGCCAAAGCCACCAGAGCCCCCTTCTGTTGAGGTGGAGTACTACACCATTGCCGAATTCCAGTCGTGCATTTCCGATGGCATCAGCTTTCGGGGTGGACAAAAGGCAGAGGTAAGCCTCCGGCCGTGAGGCCAAGGGTTTTAACTCATCATGGCAGAACTGCATTTCCCATTTAGACCTTGCTAGTAAGACTCCTGAGGGGCAGCCAGGAAAGGTACAGCAACGAGCACCCCAAGGATGAGCATCTGCCTGGCGCCAGCCAGTGCCACAGCCTGGACTAGATCCCAGCTCTCATGCTCCACTCTGAGCTCACAGGGCTCGTCTCACAGCGACACTTCCCAGAGCATGTGTGGGAGCTTGTGACGGGGGCCTCAAAACAAAGGGCTTCTGTGGTCAAATAAGCTTCCAGAACAGTGGATTAAACATCCAGCCTGTTTGTTGTTTTAATTGCAGGGCTTCCCAGAGCCTAGGATACAAGGATGTCACTGGGAGTGTCATCTACAAGGGGACTAGAATAGGCAGCACTACCCTACACGTTTTTCTCCCAGGAACACCTCGGAGCCAGGATCCTGCAGAGCCCCAGCAGGAAATGTGGTCAGGAGGATGTGGACCAGGCAGGTGGAATGAGATACTGGGGACCCGGGCTCTGGCCGAGTCATACCACATGACCCCTGGCCTTTGATGCAGTCACTTCTCCCGCCCCCACCCCCAACTTCAAGCATTTCTCTCTGCAAACAGGGTGATAGATCCTGGGACAGGCCCTCCCGGCCCGTCTTCCAGCATTCAGGCCACTGTATTTTGTGGCTGGTGCCGAGCATGGTATTCCCAGCGGAAGAGAAGAGCTGTAACTCAGTCAATTCTCTCAGTGACTTTGTGTAGTAATGGAGTTAACCCCAACTAGTACAAGTGATGTACTGGCAGATTCACTGGGCAGTCTCTGCCTCTAAAGCAGTGACGTTCCCAATGTGAATGTTTTAAATCACATGCCTGGAACTTGGAACTAAATTTCCAAGAAAAATCATCCTCTCGGTGCTGAGGTTTCCAGGAGAGTCTGTAAAGAGCATAATGTGGCAGAAATATCAGGTTCAAGGTGTGTTGAACTGTAGGTCCAGGGCTGGGGCAGGGTGAAGGACAGGATGAAGGACCCAAAGAAGGAGCAAGTCTTTCTCTTTCGGTGGAGCACAGAGGACTGCTCTCTTGCCTTTGCGTTCTCCATCCTTCCCTCCCTCCTCGGCCTCTTCTCATGGTGCCAGTGTTTGCACGCTACCCCTCCCCACCCCAGGATCTCTCCCTCCAGGAGTGTCCCACAGTCCCCAGTTACCTGCCCTTTACGTTCCCCAGTCCAAATGGACCCCAGCACAACCAGCAGCCACACTCTTGGCCACTGGTTGATCTCAAAAGTTAAGGAAGAAGCCCCTTAAACCAGTTTATACTAACATGGAAATTACCGAAGGTCCCCTACACTTCCCACAGTGTAACCATCCCAGTGGTGGTCACTAGGAAGAGGCTCTGCAGAGAGGCCCTGGCCTCGGGCCCCTACCTTCCAGTTGCTTCATCTGCATCTTCCCATTCTCTTCTGACCCTGGAGACCCTTCTAAGGGCCTCCCAGGACGGACCTAGCAACATCGAGGGTACGAGGAGGGAAGGGGCAGCAGAAGGGCAGTGTTTCATTCATACGTGTCCTTAGTGAGTCTACCGGCAGCACCGTGGGGACTGGCAACAGTGCAGTTTAGCGGAAAGAGTGGCCAGCTCAACCCGGGTGTTAACACAGATGTGGAGGACCAGGGAGGTAACTTGGCAAGGGGAACCCCCCCAACCAGGAGATGCTAGAGACCTAGGTTTGAATTCTGGTGCATTACTTACTATGTTGGGTCTTGGGCCACTGACTTGGTGGCTCAGTTTATTATCTGTAAAATGGAGATAATGCATCTCCAGGCCAAAGTATGACAGTCCTACTTTGGAATGTCATAGGGTCCCAGATCCTCCCACCTCACTGGCTCGTGTGCACTCATCCCCTAGGTCATTGATAAGAACTCAGGTGGCTGGTGGTACGTGCAGATCGGTGAGAAGGAGGGCTGGGCCCCCGCATCATACATCGATAAGCGCAAGAAGCCCAACCTGAGCCGCCGTACAAGCACGCTGACCCGGCCCAAGGTCCCCCCGCCAGCACCCCCCAGCAAGCCCAGGGAGGCCGAGGAGGGCCCGCCGGGGGCCGGTGAGAGCCAGGACTCCCCGCGGAAGCTCAAGTATGAGGAGCCTGAGTATGACATCCCTGCATTTGGCTTTGACTCGGAGCCCGAGCTGAGTGAGGAGCCCGTGGAGGACAGAGCCTCAGGGGACAGGCGGCCTGCCCAGCCCTGCCGGCCGTCGCCGGCCTCTTCTCTGCAGCGGGCCCGCTTCAAAGTGGGTGAGTCTTCAGAGGACGTGGCCCTGGAAGAGGAGACCATCTATGAGAATGAGGGCTTCCAGCCGTATGCAGAGGATACCCTGTCAGCCAGAGGCTCCTCTGGGGACAGTGACTCCCCAGGCAGCTCCTCACTGTCCCTGGTCAGGAAAAACTCCCCCAAATCAGGCTCCCCCAAGTCATCGTCACTCCTAAAGCTCAAGGCAGAGAAGAATGCCCAGGCAGAACTGGGGAAGAACCACTCCTCAGCCTCCTTTTCCTCCTCCATCACCATCAATACCACCTGCTGTTCCTCCTCTTCCTCCTCCTCTTCTTCCTTGTCCAAAACCAGTGGCGACCTGAAGCCCCGCTCTGCTTCAGACGCGGGCATCCGTGGCACTCCTAAGGTCAAGGCAAAGAAGGATGCTGATGCGAAAGCTGGGCTGACCCCCTGTGCCCGGGCCAAGCCATCAGTCCGGCCCAAGCCGTTCCTGAACCGAGCAGAGTCGCAGAGCCAAGAGAAGATGGACATCAGCACTTTACGGCGCCAGCTGAGACCCACAGGCCAGCTCCGCGGCGGTCTCAAGGGCTCCAAGAGTGAGGATTCGGAGCTGCCCCCGCAGACAGCCTCCGAGGCTCCCAGTGAGGGGAGGAGAGGCTCATCCGACCTTATCACCCTCCCAGCCGCCACTCCCCCGTGCCCCACCAAGAAGGAATGGGAAGGGCCAGCCACCTCATACGTGACATGCAGTGCTTACCAGAAGGTCCAGGACTCGGAGATCAGCTTCCCCGCAGGCGTGGAGGTGCAGGTGCTGGAGAAGCAGGAGAGCGGGTGGTGGTACGTGAAGTTTGGGGAGCTGGAGGGCTGGGCCCCTTCCCACTATTTGGTGCTGGATGAAAACGAGCAACCCGACCCTTCTGGCAAAGAGCCAGATGCAGGGCCCACCAAGGACAGGCAGAATGAAGGCAAGTCAGACAGCCTGGAGAAGATTGAGAGGCGGGTCCAGGCGCTGAACACCGTCAACCAGAGCAAGAGGGCCACGCCCCCCATCCCTTCGAAACCCCCCGGGGGCTTCGGCAAGACCTCAGGCACCCCAGCAGTGAAGATGAGGAATGGCGTGCGGCAGGTGGCGGTCAGGCCCCAGTCAGTGTTTGTGTCTCCGCCGCCCAAGGACAACAACCTGTCCTGCGCCCTGCGGAGGAATGAGTCACTCACAGCCACCGATGGCCTCCGAGGTGTCCGACGGAACTCCTCCTTTAGCACTGCTCGCTCCGCTGCCACCCCAGAGGCCAAGGGCCGCCTGGCCGAACGGGCCGCCAGCCAGGGTTCAGACTCACCCCTGCTGCCCGCCCAGCGCAACGGCATCCCCGTGTCCCCCGTGCGCCCCAAGCCCATTGAGAAGTCTCAGTTCATCCACAATAACCTCAAAGACGTGTACGTCTCTATCGCAGACTACGAGGGGGATGAGGAGACAGCAGGCTTCCAGGAGGGAGTGTCCATGGAGGTTCTGGAGAGGAACCCTAATGGCTGGTGGTACTGCCAGATCCTGGATGGTGTGAAGCCCTTCAAAGGCTGGGTGCCCTCCAACTACCTTGAGAAAAAGAACTAGCAGAGGGCCTGGGCTCCTCCAGCCTTATTGTGCCTCTCTGGCTGCCCACTGGATGAGCGGTGAGACGAACAAAAGGAAAAGGGGAAAAAAGGGAGGGGTGGGGGGTGGACAACATTCAACCCTGCAGAATGGGTGACCTCGAAGATGCCCCGCATCCAGGCTGTCCTACAGCTGGAAGGTAGGGGACGGGGGAGGCCACACTGAGTGAGGAAGGGAATGGACCACGGAGTCCCAGGCCTGGGACCCAGGGCCAAGAAAGCTGAGACCCCCTGTGCACTGTGGGGACTTCACCAGTGGATTACATGCCATTTGGGACAGGCCATGTGGGAGACCCCAGTTGTGCCTTTGCTACAGATCTGGAAAAGACGTGGTCGTGGGGGGCCTCCAGTGTCCTGTCCCTGCTTGGCCTAGTTTTGGTTGCTGGCATCTTGCCACCCCATGGAGCCCTGGCATTGTCCTTATCTGTGTTTGTGAATTGTGCTGGTTTCCTGGGCATTGCCACAGGTGGGTACATTAGAAGCCGCCTCTGGCTTTAGGGCTTGGAGGTGTCTCATGAGCTCAAGCCTGTCCTGGGCAGGCCACTGTCACTGTCAGTTGAAGAAAAAGGAGTTCCCAGGTGCCAGCAAGGACCATGTTTCGTAGCTGTCACTGTCCTGGCCTTGAGAAGAGAGCCCACTCTCCTCGGGGCATCCCCTGGAGGACACAGTACCAGAGTTTACAGAGAGGGTGGGCAAAGCCACCGGTCTCTTCATAATCTGCACAGACTATTTTGAGTATTTCCGGGCGGGCAGTTCCTTTGCATGTTTCGGGAGAAGTCTATTGATTAGGGGCTTATATGTCAGGCCTTTGCGTCTTATTTTAGGGGTTGTTTGGGGGCCTGGGTGGCCGGCCTCACGTGGGAAGGGGATGGTTAGTGGATGGGGTTTCTGTTGTATCTTGTGGGTGGGTGATTTTGCTTTTGTTTTTATTTCACATTCTTCCCCTCCACAAGCCAAAGTCGTTTCATTTGGTTTCCACTGTGTGGACTGTGCTGGAGCTTGCTGCCTGCCAGAAAAATTTGGGGCTAGGCAAGCCCCAGGTCGCAGACATGGTGAAGCGGAGAAGCTGTCCTTCTGGTTCCTGCACAATCTCAGAGGGGCAAAAAACCTCCCCAGGAAAGAGGAGGATGTTCAGGAGCCAGACTTTTGGAGCGAAGGCAGCTCCCAGTCTGCTGGGTGACCACCATTCTGCATGTGTTCCCAGCCGGGCAGGGCTGGAAGCCTTATGTATGAAGCGTGGAGAAGCAGTCATCGCCCCCACTATGAGCAGAGGGGATCCAGCTGGCCCCTTGGGGTCTGACTGGAGCCAGCACTGCCAGTTGCCTTCTCTGGCCTGTTGGCAATGCCACAGGTGCCCAAGACGATGGAGGATCCCTGTGCCAGGAGCCAACCTGGTCTTCCAGGGGGCAGTGCCCCAGTGAAGACAGAAGCGAGAGAATAAAGTTCCCTGTAGGTCCTCGGTCACCTTTGGGTTGTGTTTTTCAATTGTTGACATTTCAGAGGGGACCCTCCAGAAGCCCAGCCGGCTTCTCCCAAGGACTGCCCTTTCCCTGGGAGTGGATTTCCACACGTGCCTTTGATTTCAGACAGATCGGACTTCACAGCCGCCGATTCAGCTGCCAGGGTCCCTGGACTGGGGGGGGGCAGGGGTGGTTTCTATAGAGGAGGAAAGGCCCTCCCTCACCTTGCTCCCCACCCAGGCAGGGCAGATGGGACCCAGCGTCTCAGTGCCTTTGAGACCCACTCCCACCCCTACCACACCCCATCCCAGAGGCCTGGCCTGGGCAACCCCAAGCCCCTGTCCCTCGCCATACACTGATGCCTGGCAGCTAGAGCAAACGGCTCGTGTTCTTTGTCAAAGGCCTGTGGTGAGATTGTTTTGTTTCCTTGTTTTGTATGTTTAAAATTGAAATTAGTTATTTTCTTCTGCTGGACAGTATTAAATAGAGCAGGATATTGAGTTAATCTGCTAGATTGCAGTACTAATGGTAGTGGTTTAGTGTCTTCATATTATTATTTGTACTTATTTGAACAATAATGATAAAGAAGTGGTTCATTATTTTTTAATTAATGCACTTTAAGGTGGAATGGGAAAAACTCAGAGCAAAGTGCATTACTTAAAGATGCAGTATATACTTTTCTCATTTTTAAACAGCACATATTTATTAAGAGAAAAAAGTAATTTATGACTATTTAAAATAAAATTTAAAAGTAGAGTGACTGTCAGGTAAAGAACCTTCCATGTAGCTATCTTCCAGGGGGAGGGCCCCGCAGCCTCGCTCCTCCAATGTCTGCACTGAGCCAGTTCAGTCACTAGTGCGCCAGCCAGGCAAGGAGGGAGTGCAGAGCATGTCTGCCAAGCACAGAGCATCTCAGTCGGACTGGACCGCAGTGCTCCCCAGAGCCTGCCTTTCCTGCCCTTCCTTACCACCTGCACTGCCCCCCACATTCTCCCAGCCCCCAAGGACCACCCCCCTCCATCCCCCGTGCTCTAAGTGATAGAGTCATTAAAAGGCAGGACCGAAGAGACCTCAGAGGTCACACCATCCCATCCCTTCCTTTCACTACGGCCCAAGGACAGGAAATGACTTCTCCAAAATCTCACAGCTAGTTAATGGCAGATCTCCCCACTGCATTAATCCTGTGCTCCTCCTCACCCCCATGGTAGTTTATAGTGTGGTCATGTTTACATTGTGACATCCAGCCCCAAGGATGGCTGGGAGTTGCTCAGGCATCCAGGAAAAGTGGGGAATGCTGCCACCTGGTGACGGCACATAGATTTGGGCAGTAAACGGATTGCATGCCCCAGTCTTCCCACCTCACCCCCCTAACTCACAGCACAAAACCCTGCAAACCCAAAGAGATTAATACTTGAAGCAAGAAGGGTGCATGCCAGTCCTTCTCAGAAATGGCCAGGGGATACCAGGCCTTGTGCCCCTGGACTCCTAGCCCTAGCCAGGGCGAGAGGGCCTTTCCCTAGAGCTACTGAGCTGCTTTGTGATGTTGGAGGATACTGCCGGCAGCAGGCAGAGGAGGGAGGGGGCCTAGGGCTCTGACCCATCTGGAGGAAAACCAGATCGGACTAAAAAAGGAAAAAAAAAATCTCTGCAGTGCCCAAACCTAGTTTCCCATGAGTTGCGATTGAAAATGTGAAATGACACTGTATTGCTGTATACTGCAACTTTAACCATAATGAGCCCTTCTGAGGTCATTATTGAGGTTCATATAATGCCCGAAGATACAGCATTTGGTGCTTCGTTTTCCTTTTCATTTAAAGGCCTTTTTCTTTTATTTCAGGGGGAAAAAAATGTCTTCATTTCCCACCCACCTCATCCCTCTTTGTGACACAGGCCTGGCTATGTTGCCCCTCTCCTCCTCGCTATTCTCACCAGGCCACGGGACTTTGGGGGCAGCGAGAGCGCGCTGGAAAGGGGCAGCAGGTGGGCCCCACGCCCTGTGGTTCCCCCACGCCCAGAGACTAGACGGGCTCTTGCCAGGCCTCAGCCCTGTCTACCCCCAGCCTGGCCCCAACGGTTTCTCTTTCTTCCTCCTTGATTTTCCATCTTGACGAAGGCATTATATAGAATCATTTTAATCACTTTCAGATGTTAGAGCAGCATATTTTACTGGCATTTATATCCATTGCTTTCCTCAGCAAGTCATGTTACTACTTCTATCATCTAAGGAAAAAAGACGAGGGAATTTCCGTCAGGCATTATTTTCATATTACTAGTGTTTGCAGAATAGGTGTAGAACTATTTTAAGTTAGGCCTTGGTTTGGTAGTTGTTTTTAAGGGGAAAAAAGATAAAGTAACCCCTATTTTTCCTGTTATTGTATTTAACTAATATACTATTTCTTTAAGGTTACTCACTTCCTCTCTCCCCTCCAAATACCTTGCATTCTCAATCGAAAATAGAAACAATCTGAGAGACAGGAAAAGTGCAATATTACCAAGATGGATGCCAGGGCTCACTGGGGACAATGGAGGGACAACCAGGGGCGCTCGGAGAGCTAGACGCAAGGAGTGGGGTGCTGAGGGAACCCCAGCTGTAGAACAGGTGGGTGGGTTGATGGAATTTGATCTTGTAGCCTTTTCCTCTCCCCCTTCCTTAGGAAGATGATAGGGGTCCCTGCCAGATCCACCCAGAAGAAAGGGATTCAGGCAGGGGGCCCTTGACCTCTGGGGCCCCAGTCCCTGGAGCAGAATCAGGCCCTCGGGTGCTGTCCCTTGTTTTGATTTCTGTTGTGGTGCAGCCAGCTGCTCAGAGAGACCTGTCCTAAAAATGACTCCAGCAGCCCTCTCTCAGCCCCATATCCTGATGTTTGGGCTGTGATCCTTCTGGTGTATGTTTGAATCTTTCTAAAATTGGGTGCCATCAGTTCAATTTCTAGGCAGGAAGCCTAGAGGTCACCAAGTCTTTTTGGGGGGATGTAAGAACCCTGAGCCACGCACACCCTTGTGAGACACCAATTCCCACAAGCAGGGCCTGGGGCTGAGCCTGGCCCGCCCATTCATCTCAGCGACTTCAGCCTGAGGAGTAAGCCCTGTCTGTGCTCCACACCCAGACAAGACAGTACGAATTCTCCTCCAGGAAGAGTCAGGGGTGTCTAGTCAAGTTTCTCTGCAGACAGAGCTTCCCACAACAGGTAACCAATCTGGCCTCCTTCCTCAGCACCAGTAGAGAAAGCAGAATGAGAAGTTTCCTCTGGGTTCAAGCCCCCAGAGATCTGCCCCTCAAGGTGACAGGCACTTCCCTGTGGCTTCTTCCCCCACCTCCAGTACTGTATGCTTGCTGCTCCAACCCCCTATTTGGTGAATTTCTGCAGACATGGATCTCTGTGCCCAGAGTGGGACTCTGCCCTGTGTGTCTCTCCCTAGATATCCATCTAGCTATTCAGTCTGAGAATCTCAGTGCAGAGCTCTCTGGGAAGAGAACTGTCCACACTGCTAAATAAGATTCCCTCACTTTTTTGAGGGCCATGTGCTGAGTGAGAGAGAGAGAGAGAGAGAGAGAGAGAGCGCATGCGTATGCAAGTGTTGGTAACTTCCCACTTGAACTAAGTAACATGGGGTTAGAGAAAAAAAAAAACAATACCAGGCAAGCTGTCTCCATTGAACAAGTCCTTGGCAATGGGCAGGTCCCAAGGGACTCAGCTTCTGGCAGCAAGTGTGTGCGTCATTCACACACATCATTCTGGCTGGAGAGTGCAATGTGTTTTTTCCTTTTTGTAAGTATTAAGTATTTAGTTGGAAGCTTCACACTGGCATTAACAGGTCTAGCAGAAGCAGCCTACACAGTTGTCCCAAGCTCCAAAATGAAGATGTGCAAAAGAGATGCCATTGGGTGTAGAAACACTGAGTTGGTTCAGTTAGGTCACCCCTGCAGATGTGTCATCAAGCGGGCTGACTTCTGCCCCTCAGCCATGCCATGAGTATGAGAAGCCCCTTATAATAAAAGACCTGCCCGTCCCTTCGTCCTTGTTTCGGAGGGTGAGTCAGGTGGTCGGGGTGAGAACTGCTCACAGTGTGCCCAACAAGACATGCAGGTACATATACGTCTAGTCCCGACTGCAGGGCCAGACCCAGCACTTCTGTAAAGTGTGCAGAGGGCTCTGCTAGACCTTACTGAGTTTCTGGCTAAATCATCATCCCTGTCTGGTGCCATCTCATGTCTCCGTGGTTCCCAAGCTGTATGATCAGAGCCAGTGAGAGGACAGGATCAGTGTCCCATAGCTTTGGGGGAAAACAGTCCCACTGCTAACTTCCCTCTTGCAAACCTGGGTCCCCAGGCCATACGGTGGGCACACTGGTGCTTACAGACTGGGTGGAGGGCTTTACGTTCCAAGACCTTGATCCCAGCCTGCCTATAAGGTTGAGCTTAGCATGCAATCCCCCTTCCCCAATCCTTTTTCAGACAGAGTCTCACTCTCCACCCAGGCTGGAGTGTGGTGGCAGAATCTCAGCTCACTGCAACCTCCGCCTTCTGGGTTCAAGCAATTCTTCTGCCTCAGCCTCCCGAGTAGCTGAGATTACAGGTGCCCGCCACCATGCCCAGTTTATTTTTATATTTTTAGTAGAGACAGGGTTTTGCCATATTGGCCAGGATAGTCTCAAACTCCTGACCTTGTGATCTGCCTGCCTCAGCCTCCCAAAGTGCTGGGATTACAGGCATGAGCCACTGCACCCGGCCCAATCCTGTCTTCTTAAATCTCAAGTTCGCACTTGACAATCAGCACCCTCTCTCCTACTCCAGTCCTAGAATTCAGTGGCTTTAGAGAATGGGGTCCCCTGTACTGAAGGGCCCTGCCTTGCTCCCAGTTCCATCCTGACCAATAGGCTGAGCCTCAAGAGGTGAAAGAGAAGGAGAGAGGGAGGAAGAACTATTTAGAGCAAAAGGATGGCTCGAGCATGTTAGAGGCAAGTGAGAGGCACGTTGGTGAGAAGAACGTGTGCATGTTTTTAGCTGGGGCCTACTGTCCCTTCACTAGGGAAAGAGGCTTCCAGAAGAGGATGTCTTCTAGGAAGAAAAGGTGTGTGAAGACTGAAAAGGGGTTTGGAGTTTTGTCTGTTGATTAGAAAGAAGGAAGAAGTCTGCTCTGCGTGTTTCAGGAAGGAGAGAGCAGGTAGAAGGGAGTTTAGTGATTAAGCACCCAAGGGTCCAGCCACAGCAAGTTGGAAAATCCTCCAAATTTGGCCACAGAAGCTGGGTAGGAAAAAAACTGCCACTCATTGGGCCACAAGCTGGGTCCCCATCGTTCTCAATGAATGGTCACTGATTTACTTATCGGAGAGGGGAAGTCACCAGCAACAAACCAATCTTTGAGTTTGCAGACCCTGATTCCAGAATACATGCAACCAGCTCCCGGGTTCTCAGCTGGTTTTGCCCGCTTCCCTTTGACTGTCCAATCCAAAGCTAGCTGCTCAAGTTGTATGACTCAGAGACCGTGACCACAATGGGTCATACAGTAGGCCCCACTTGCACAAACTAGAATCAGAGTTCAGACTCCATTGGGCATGTCTGGGAGGAAGGCAACCTCCTTTGTCATCCTGTTGGTACCAGTCATCTTTAAGTATCTCTGACACCTATGGTGGTCCCGTTGGCTGGGCCTCCCATCTGGTAAGAATTAGACTGGGTATGATAAACAGTCATCCATGGATATACCTGCCATTTTGCAGTGCCTTATAGCCAAGGCATACTCCCCGTAAGAGTTTACTGCAGAGAAAACAGCAAAACAGCCACCCTTCTTCAATTTACAACGCGTTATCTGCAACAGGTTTTCTTTAAATCCAGGACACAGGATGGGAAATGAGTTTCCCTGCCAGGTACTCGGAGGTCTGCAGGAAAGTGACTCCCAGGCAAGGCAGATTTGAGTGATCCCTGAAGCGTGGGCATGTGGCCTGCATGGCTGGGTGGGGACTGGTGGACACCTCTGGAGCTCTGGAATCTTAGGGAATTCCTCATGGAATTCCCCTCCCAGCTCTTAGTGGGCTCTGCGGGGTCAGGGGGACCCTTCTTTCCGGTTTTCCTTCTTTCCTCATCAGCAGAGAAACTGGAGAAAAGGACATTAAACTCAGTGCAGTCACTCCGAGTGCTGAACTATTTCCAGAATCACTGGTGGTGCTAAACTATCTCCATGTTTCTAACATTTTTAATAGTTGGTTTCTTTTATATCTCATCACAAAAATGCAGTGTCCCTGGGGAAGGGATCAGCCCCCTGGCCTGCCACTTCCCAGATGTCCTTTATCACTTTGACAGGACTCTTTGGTCTGCAGAAATGCTCTGTCTTGACATGCTTCTAGACTGTAAAATTTGGGGTTTGTTTTGTATTTTATGTTTACATGCATCTTATATTTCCCTGAAAACTAAATAAAGTTTTGGGCCTTTTTAACTGAACAGAATCACCGTTTAATTCTCCCTGTCACCAGAAAACCCATCCAGCTGAACAGCAAATGTCCCATTATCCCAAATTGCAAGGTGGACTCCAGAATCCCAGGGCCCTCTGAAAGAAAAGATGCTGGAGGGTAGGGTCAGGTAGGTAAGGTCTCACCCTGTCACTGAGGCTGGGGTGCAATGGCATGATCATAGGTCACTGCAACCTCAACCTCCTGGACTCAAGCAAGCCTCTCAGCCACCTGAGTGGTTGATACTATAGGCGCACCACCATGACCAGCTAATTTTTTTTATTATTTGTAAAGACAGATTCCTGCCATGTTGCCAGGGCTGGTCTCAAGTTCCTAGGCTCAAGCAATCCTCCTGCCTCAGCCTCCCAAAGTGCTGGGATTACAAGCATGAGCCATCAAGCCATCACGCCCAGCCAGCTCTCATTCTTGTTGGTGAGAATCGCGGTCAAGCTCCTCCAGCCTCTTCCCAGTTTTGGGAGGCTTTCTGGGCAGTGGCCAAGGCTTTGAAAGACGCAGATCTTGAGGCCAAGGAGCCACATCCAACAGGCCTAGCTGGCCCCTTAGCATAGCCCCCTGACCCTCTCCTGCTTTTGCTGGACCCCAGTAAGCAGGACAGCGTAGCTCTGATGCAGGAACAGCCCATGGCTGTGCAAGGCTATGCAGAGGCTGGGTAGCTTGAGCATCCTCCGAGGGGACAGGATGGGCAGGTAGGTGTCCCACATGCCTCTTGAGGCCTGGTGCTGCCAAACAAGCTCAACTCCAACACTGTGCCTAGACCTTGGGGCCAGTCTGGCTGCCTCCTCCCCATCAGCCGTCTCCCCCAGCTTTCCCCACCACAAAGATCACTTAACGCATCTAGAACACTTCTCCAGAGGTCTCTATCCAGAGGCCTCCCTTTTCTCCTCAGTGGCGCCACCCATTTGGCATGGGCCTCTGCACTCACCAGTGGGAACACAGCTGAGCTCCCGCCACATGTTGGGGTCCGAGACTGGGGAAGAGGGGTGGAAGCCTAGTCCCCAGGGAGCTCAGAGCACAGTCCCTGATGACCTGAGTGGAACATTTGTCATCCCCCCGTTAGCCCCTAGGTGGCAGTGCACACCCCACAAGCAGCAGATCTGGGCTCTGGTCTGCCTTAGGGGGAACCCAAGCTTCATCCTGGAATCCCAGGGCGCCTTCCCCACCACACCCTGCTCCTCACAGATGCAGTGGTCTCTCCCAATTTATAAGACTCACTTGGCATTCTAGCCCCAAATCACGCTGTGGTTCCCCACTCCAAGGAGTCTTCCCAGATTGCCCCAGCCCACCCTGAAGCCTCAGAGGCCTGCAATTACCCCTGAGGGAAGGGCCGCGCCTCCTGTTGACTCCCTAGTATCCAGGACGCCAGCCCTCCACACCCCAGCCTGCCCCCACATGTGCACGCAGACGACAGCCTTCTTTCCCCCACCCCCCATATGCTCCGCGCACAGCACAGCCCTCAGGCTGGTACGAAATCATCTTTATTCACAATCACAGCGACCCGAGTGCACAAGGGCAGCAGCAGCCACCCCTGCACTGACAGAGGTAATGGGGTGATGGCTTCCTCTCCCAAACCCTTGGCCTCTGGGATACCTGGCTGGGGGGACCCGCTAGCCAGCCCCCCACCTGCTTCCTCCCACAGAAGAGGTCTCCCATTGTCAGTGACTGGAGAGTAGAGACCCCTAGTGGAACAGTGGCTTCCCCATAAGCCCACTGCAAGGCCAGCACAAAGGCTCAGCCTGAGGTCCTGGTATACCACCCCACGGCAGCCCTCCCTGAAGAACTCCCACGTGTCTCACAGAAAGCCTGCTCCTCTCTCCCCAGACAACCATTTTATAGAAGTGGAAGCTGTGGCTCCAGGCAGCTATGACTTGGCCAGGGCCACACAGCTGGTCAGTGGCCACGACTAAAAGGCATGCCCTGCCTGCCACACAGAGGAGCAGGCTCTGATGGATGCAAAACAAAAACAAAAAAAGCCATCTGAGGGGGCAGAGGGCTGGGAGGCTGGGAGAGGCCAGGGCAGGCAGAGCTGAGAGGACCAAGCTCAGAGCAGATGGGCGCTCCCTCCCCGGAACTCAGAATGAGAATCTGGAAGTGCAAGAGGCAGTCCCTGCCTGCTCATCTCCAGGGATGGAAAGCCTTCCCTACGAACAAGCTCCCTGCCCCGCCATGACAACGTCCCCCTCTCCTGTTGCTGGCCCACGCTGGGAACCCTGGCCCTCCTGGAAGTTTGATGTCGTTACGGAGGGGGGAACCTCCTGGGCCACCTGATGTGCCTGAGCCAACCATGATAACCCAGCTCTGAGCCGGGAGGAAGGGTGCTCTGTGGCTCTGGGTGACCACCAGCCCCAGGGCACCAAGGAGGCTCAGTCTGCCTCTCTGTAAATGGACACTGTTTGCCAGAAAGTCTCCCAATTTGGCCCCTCCTTATGGAGTGGCAATTCTTGGTGGGCAGGCCTGGCTATGAGCTTTGTGGCTGGAGTCGGAGGAAGATACTGAGTGATGACTCCCTCAGCCGCACCCTCTCCCAGGTAGCCCACACACAAAGGCAGCTTTTCTAGGGGTCCAGGGGATGGGAACTCACCTACAAATGAACAAAAACCCAAACCCACAAACCAAATAAATAAAAATAAGGAAAAAGGCTGGTCTTAGCCCAGGGAAACCACATACCCCTACCCAGGGCCCTGGCCCATCCCAGGTAATGCAACAGGCTCTGACAGTCAGCCCAGGCGCTGACAGCACAAATTGTGGAGAACAGGTCAGAGAGGGTAGCTGCAAACCTGTCCTTAGAGACCCTGGCAGAAGGCCAACGCTGTTCCCCAGCCCAGGTTCCAGGATCCTAGCTGAGAAGGGAGGACCCGGCCTGACCGTAACCTTCCTTGCCCCATCGTCTTGTTGGATGCTGTTGCCCAGGGTAGCCCCTGGAGCCCTCTGCAGCCTGTCCATGTGCCCATCGACTAGCGGGAGAGACATGGCTGCAGCCTGCCCAGGATGGGAGGCACCCACCAGCCTCTCACCCCCAGCTGCCACGCCCAGTGGGCAGGGAATGAGGAAAGAGAAGGTAGGCAGAGGTCAGAGGGAGACAGCAGCTCCGGAGGTTGAGCAGGTGGCAGACCACTCAAGTTGGCTGAAGGAGCAAATGAGCCTAAAATCCAGTCCCCGCTGCACTAGCTAGGCCACATGCCCCGGCTCAGGGCCGCAGCAGCCCACAGGAAGGTCCCTGTTTTCTGGTTTTCACAAAGGTGCCACACGGACTACAACGACCTCCTAGAAACCTGCCCCAGATGGGGAAGGATTTGGGCAGGCTGAGATCCCAATTCAGCCCTCAGCATGCAGAGGAGAGCTGGACGCAGAGACGGGACAGACAGGGAGAGTGCGGCCTTGTCCCCTCCCCTCTCCCTCGGTGATTTGCCTCTGCCCCTCCCTGCCTGATACCCCCCCTCTCCCCAAACTTTCAAGGGCCTCAGTTTCCCATGTTTAATGGAGGAGGAAAAGTTTCCAAAATGAGGAAGAGAAGGGGCCCCACTGGCTTGTTCCTCAGCTGGGGCTGGGCGGAAGCCCGAGGAGGTGGGTGTGCGGGATGGCCCACCGCAATGGGCTAGGAGCTGCGGTAGGTCTTGATGATGTCCTTGATGGGGCGGCGGCAGATGGGGCAGCAGGCGTGCAGAGCCTTCTTGAGGCGCAGGCCACAGGTATAGCAGAGGCACATGTGGCCACATGTGTAGATGACCGTGTCCACCGCGTGTTCATAGCAAATGGTGCACTCATCGCTCCACTGGCCCAGACCTGGGGTCACTGGCGACTCAGGCAGGCTCACTGGTGAGTTGGGGGCTGTCCCTGAGGACAAGGGGGCACCAGTCAGGAGGAGACATGGCCCAGCCCGGCGCTGGATTCATGAGAAGAGAGCCCCCGGCCTCCGGTGTCCCCTTCCACTTATCAGGATCTGCCTGTTCACCCTAACAACCCAACTTCCAGGGCACAATAGAAAAGGCTGAGCTCTGAGCAGCCCCACTTCTGACCCACTCTACCCCCAGACAAGGGGACAGAGAGGCTAGCAGGCAGTGAGAGAAGAGATGGATGAAAGAAAGGATCCAAAATCTTTTAAGGCAGGTCCCTCCTGAGCTACCCTTTGGCACTGCCCAGCTAGGGGACAGGAGGGGATGACCCCAGAAATCACCCCCAACAAGGGTTCACTGAGCCCAGCTCCAGCTCCAGCTACTCTCCACTCCCAGCCCAGACACAGAGGCTGCATCCTTGCCACAGTCCCATACGGTCCACCATGGAACAGAGAGGCCGGCCTACTTACCACCAGCAGAGCTACCCAGAGGGCCAGAGCTGCACGTGCTGAGCAAGGGGTCAGAGAGGCGGCTGCCCAGGGCACTGGGCGAGGTTGGTGTGGAGGCGGGGGAGCAGGGGAGTGATGGGATACCCCGCTCTGCCAGGATGGTGGAGCCTGTGAAAGGGGAGGGAGGGAAGGATATGCTAGCCACCTGCCAAGGTCAAACTGGAGAAAGCTCCATCCTTCACAGTGGGTTCCCAGGCCTGACCACACAGCCCGGCCACAGGGCAGAAGGCAGGATTTTGCAGCCTGGCCTCTGTTCTCACCTACATACTGGAGGGCCATATCCTGCTTGCCTCTTGTTATACCAGCTGCTCCAAACTAGGCCCCTGCCTGGCATGTACCTCCACCCCTCCCCATGCATCCTTTCTGCAAAACTTCCTGGGCATGTAAGTTACCATCTCCCTCCCCCACAGCCTCAGCCTCCTGTTCAGAGCCCTGCGCCCTTCACCACTGTCCCCAGACATCACTGGCCTTCTCTGCATGGCAGCTCTGCAAAATGCCTTCGCCATCTCCCACCTTGTTCTGATCCTAGATTCTTTCCTCCCCTCCTTCCGTCACTTTTTTTTTTTTTTTTTTTTTTTTTTTTTGGAGAGGGAGTCTCGCTCTGTCGCCAGGCTGGAGTGCAATGGCACAATCTTGGCTCACTGCAATCTCTGCCTCCCGGCTTCAGGAGATTCTCCTGCCTCAGCCGCCCAAGTAGCTGGGATTACAGGCACACATTACCACACCCAGCTAATTTTTTTGTACTTTAGTAGAGACAGGGTTTCACCATGTTGGCCAGGATAGTCTCGGTCTCCTGACCTCATGATCGACCCACCTCAGCCGCTGAAAGTGCTGGGATTACAGGCGTGAGCCACTGCACCCAGCCTTCCACTCCTTTTCAACAATCCTTGCCTTCCTCTTTCCCTCCTTCCTTCTCTCCTCCCTTCAACAAATCCTTACCAAGGGCCTAGGAGGTACCAGGCCCTGTGCAGACAGAAAGCTGGAGACAGCCCCCTGCCTTCAAAGAGCTGACTGTCCAGGGAGCCTTTGGGAGCTGCCCTCAAACTCCTTCCTCTGGGCCACCTTGACTCCCCCCAGACCACATTACTCTCTCAAGTACACGTGTAGACACACACACACACACACACACACACACACACACACACACACAGAGACACCAGACACACAACCACAAAGCCTGGGATATTATTTGTTCTGTGCCCAGGACTCCAGCTTTGTTTCTACAGTAAAACCATGAAGCTTGCTTAGAACAGGAAATCTTATTCACCTGTGACTCTCTCATAAACCCTAACATAATGCCCTGCACAAACCTAAGTGCCCAATGAGATCTTTTTTTATCGTAGTTATTAATTCTAATTCATTTAGCGTTATTAAGTCTAAGAATATTCAAAAGATGCCCACAGCTATCTCTTCCTGTGTTATTTTTCCAAGTTAATCATCGCCTTCTATCAGGAGTTCACACCCATTTACTTTTCTTGCCTTGCTGCATTGGCCAATGTTTTCAGAACAATGTCTATAAACCATCTCTATTATATTCCTCATTTCATTAGAAATATTTCTAATGTTTCACCAATAAGTATGGAGCTGGCTGTACGTTTTGTGATACACGTGTGAAGGAAATAACCTATTCTTAGTTTACTTAGGCTAGCCACAAAGCCAAGCATTCCTCTGTAAGGTTAATAATGACCCTTCATGGATTGTCACTGGTTTCTTATTCCTTTGAAGTCAGTCAGGATCTTCAAACACCAATTTGCTGCTTAAGATGCCCAATTTGCCAAACAGATCAGGAACATCTGTTGAATGTATATTGAATTCTGGGTGGTTCTTCAGCACCCATCCTGGCCTATCTCCCTCTTGAAAGAGGTAAATCTGGATTGTTTTTAAGCCTCCCGTTTGCTCCAGTCTAGTAAGCCTCTTTGGGCAATAGAAGCCTTACTGGAAAGCTGCTTAGCTATTATTAGATGGTGCTGAGGGAACAGAGTACCTCCTTACTCTTATGTAATTTCCTTTTTCTGAGAAGTAGTATCTCCTGGTCAGTGAAATCAGCTTGACTTTTTTTTTTTTTTTCATCTCAGCCCAATTTTTTTTTATTCATCCTGAATTCTCATCCAATCCTGATTCCTCACCCAATCCCAATTCATCTGCCTGTGTCCTTCCTGGTTTTCTCTTTTTTTTCTTTTTCTGAGACGGAGTCTCACTGTTGCCCAGGCTGGAATGCAGTGGCACCATCTCAGCTCACTGCCTGTCAGGTACAAGCGATCCTCCTGTGTCAGCCACCCAAGTAACTGGGCTTACAGGCGTGCACAACCACACCCAGCTTTTTTTTTTTTTTTTTTTTGCACTTTAGTAGAAATGGGGATTTGCCATGTTGGCCAGGCTGGTCTTGAACTGCTGGCCTCAAGCAATCCATCTGCCTTAGCCTCCCAAAGTGCTGGGATTACAGACATGAGCCACCATGTCCTCAAACTCCTCCTCTGGGCTGCCTTGACTCCCCCTAGTCTTTTTCATTCCTTTATGTTTCACTCCATCTTTATTTGGTCTCTTTCCAGAGTTGGAAGTCCTGTTTTTTAATCTGATTTTGCATGCTCTCACAAACCAACAGCATTACATACATTAATATATGTGCATTTATCCACAGGTGCCTATACCCCCCAGTATGCCAATCTCATACAGTACCTCACGCTCACTCATCTACACACATTATCTCATCTATCAAGCTTCCTGGGCTGAGGTCTAGGCTAGACGCTGTGAGGCCCAGAGGTCTCCAAACTTGGGTAAGCATATTTGCTAAAGAAAAAAAAATTCAGAAGTCCAGAACCTGTCCAAGATCTACAGAATTAAAATCTCTGAAGGTGGGGTCCACGAATCTGCACTTTTTCTTTCTTTCTTTTTTTTTTTTTTTTTTTTTGAGATGGAGTTTAGCTCTTGTTGCCCTGGCTGGAGTGCACTGGCATCACCCTTGGCTCATTTTGCAACCTCCATCACTTGGGTTCAAGCAATTCTCCTGCTTCAGCCTCCCAAGTAACGGATTACAGGCACGCACCACCACGCCCAGCTAATTTTTGTATTTTTAGCAGAGACAGGGTTTTACTATGTTGGCCAGGCCAGTCCCAAACTCCTGACCTTGGGTGATCCACCCACCCTGGCCTCCCAATGTCCTAGGATTACAGGCGTGAGCCAATGGGCAGTGCAAAGCTGAATCTGCCCTTTAACAGGTTCTCCAGGTGAGTCTAATGAAACCCGGCTGAATCCGCACTTTAATAGGTCCTCCAGGTGAGTCTAATGAAACTATCTCAATCTCACAGAGCTGGTTCAAAGACCAGCACTTTGAAAGCTTGAACACCTGCTCACTCTGGGGTACACAAGTACCAAGAGACACTTTGTGAAAAGATTTCTAGTCAAATTAGTTTGGAAAAACTGTACACCAAAACCGCCATCACCCTCTCCTTAATCACACTGCATATTAAAAGCTCTGACAAGTCTTGCAATAAAGAATCTTCCTTCTTTCTTAATTCAGTGCGCAACCCCCAGGCCTTTCAAACCCTGTGTCCTCCAGAAAAGGCAGGCCCAGAACTCTGCAACCCCACGTCCCCTAACCAGACACCACCCTGCACCACCTGACTACTGACATTCCAACCTCTTTTTCTCATTTGGACTCACAAACTTCCTTAAAGGTGGGGACCTTTATTTCCATTTTGGAGAAATGGTAACCAAGACTCAAAAAGTTAACTGCTGGGGGAAACCTTTTTTCCTCTCATTTTTCAGCGGTCACTGGGTTGTGTGCTTCTGGACTGTTTATGTGTCTGTAGGACTATGGGTCGATCGGATTCTGGGCCTCAAACTCAATAATCCGCGCTTCCCCCAACCTCCCCGCCCAAGGTGAGTCTCCCAGGTGACATTTGAGGGTTACTGACTAGATGACCGAGTCCCGCCCAGAACTCCCCTTAGGTGTCCGTGATTCCTTAGCAACACCATCATAAGCCTGGGGGGGAAGGGAGCTCACCCTCTGTCCCCTACCCGGATCGTCCCCCCATCCAAGAAAGGCACACGCCCAGGCGCGGCTGCGGGCACTCACCGAGGATGCGGATCTGCGTGATGGCCCCGTGCAGGCCGAAGAGCATCCAGAGCGGCTGCGAGGCGTCCACGCACAGCTGCATGCCGGCGGCGGAGCCGTTGTGGCTGAGGTGCAGCTCGCCGTCGGCGTTGACCACCAGGCCCAGGATGTCGCCGCTGTGCAGGGGCCCGGGCACGCGGCACACGGCCCAGAACTCCTTGCGGTCCACCAGAGCCTCGGGGCTGAAGGGCAGGTCGGCCGGCCTCAGCGTGCCGGGGTCGCACGTGGTGACGCCAAACGACAGCGCGCCGGGCCGCGCGCCGCTCGAGCGCGTGACCTTGACGAAGATGGTCTCGGCCACGCGCACGGGCCGGCTCGTGAAGACGAGCGCGCGCTCGTCGCGCCCGTGCTCCACGCGCGCCACCGTCTGCTCGTCGAGGATGCGGACGTGCGCGCCGGCGCGCAGGGCATGGAAGCGCAGGTCGCCGTCGAGCTGCGCGGGTAGCGCGCGGCTGTGCTGCGAGTTGAGCGAGTTCTGCGGGATGGGACAGCCGGCGGCAGGCGCGGCCTCGTCGCCGTCGGCGACCGGCACGTTGAGGTCGCACAGGCTCACCGAGAGGCGCGCGTCGTCCGCCTCGCGCCGCAACGACGGCCGCCGCAGGGCGGTGAAGGAGCGCGGCCGCAGGCAGTCCGGGAGCACCAGCTCACTGTCTGCACGGGAGACACGGGGCGGCGTCACGCAGGGATCCCGGGCAGTGGCGCCGGCGCGCCCCACTGCCCCGTCCCTCCGCTCGCACCTGCGCACCGTTACAATCTCGGATGGCTAATGGAGTACACGATGCTCGTGACTTAACATTAGCAGGCACAGTCAAGAAACGGCTCATGCGGGGCATCTAACTATTTAAACAGAGGAATTGGTGGGGGAAGCACCGAAACTTAAACCATGTGGGTACTTCCAACTTGCTCTATGCATGTGTACCCTCCTCCTCTTCTACAGTAAACGTGTATTGCTTTTAATTTAAAATTTTCAAAAATTTAACTCCTGGGCGCCCTCCGTCTTATGCCTAGCACCGAGCACTCCGTTGACAAACAGTAACCGTCTGTCGAGTGCACTGATGAAGGCCTAACACCCCACCTCCGCAAACACACACACCCTCTTTGTGTACATTGTCTCATCTAACCTTAGCAATCACCTTTTAAGGCTACCATTGCCACGTTAGGACACAGGCTGGGAGAAGTACATCTATCCAAGATATCCTTTTGAAAGTGGCTTAACGGAATCAAAGTCGTTCTTTAAAACATACACGTTATAGAAAATACGAAACGGTTATTTTGTAGAAAATCCAGTTCAGCAAAAAGAAAAAATAATCGCCTGTAAGCCCACCACCCAGAGAGAAAAGCATTTTTAATATTTGGATGTATGACCTTTCAGCCTTTTTAAAGGCTGTATTTTTGGGTATTTTTGTTGCTTTTGAGACAGGGTCTCGCTGTGTGGCCCAGGCTGGAGTACAGTGGCGATACCTTAGCTCACTGCAACCTCCGCCTCCCAGGCTCAAGCCATCCTCTCACCTTAGCCTCCCAAAGTGCTATAATTAGCGGTGTGAGCCACCACACCCAGCTAATTTTTGTTTTTTGTTTTTTTTGTTTTTGGTTTTTTTGTTGTTTGTTTTTTTGTTTTTTGTTTTTTTGGTAGAGATGGGATTTCTCCATGTTGCCCAGCTGATCTCCAACGCCTAGGCTCAAGCGATCCTCCTGCCTCAGCCTCCCAAAGTGCTATGATAAGCAGTGTGAGCCACCATACCGAGTTGGTTCCTTTTTTAATGCAAAATTGTGTCATGCTATATACACATCACACATCACTTGTTTTTAACCTTTTATATGTAATACATCACTTTGAAAATGTAATGATGACATTGACTCATCTCCCCAGAAAAAATGCGCATTCTCACTAAATTTTGTGGAGAATGTCTCGGCATTCATGAACTACATGAAGCCATCCATGGGCATGGACTCCAGGCTAAGAACGTGGTAGCTTTTTTCACTACTATATCCTGACCACCTCTCCATGCCAATAACTGTTTCCAACACCATATTCTTCTTCTTTTTTTTTTTTTTTTTTTTTTTTTTTTTGAGACGGAGTTTCACTCTTGTTACCCAGGCTGGAGTGCAATGGCGCGATCTCGGCTCACCGCAACCTCCGCCTCCTGGGTTCAGGCAATTCTCCCGCCTCAGCCTCCTGAGTAGCTGGGATTACAGGCACGCGCCACCATGCCCAGCTAATTTTTTGTATTTTTAGTAGAGACGGGGTTTCACCATGTTGACCAGGTTGGTCTTGATCTCTTGACCTCGTGATCCACCCGCCTCAGCCTCCCAAAGTGCTGGGATTACAGGCTTGAGCCACTGCGCCCGGCTACCATATTCTTCTAATGGCTGTGTTATGTTCTACTTTATGGAGTCCTATAACTTACACTAAAAGTAATCACTGTGGCCGGGCGCGGTGGCTCACGCCTGTAATCCCAGCACTTTGGGAGGCCGAGGCGGGTGGATCACGAGGTCAAGAGATCGAGACCATCCTGGTCAACATGGTGAAACGCCGTCTCTACTAAAAATACAAAAAATTAGCTGGGCATGGTGGCGCGTGCCTATAATCCCAGCTACTCAGGAGGCTGAGGTGGGAGAATTGCCTGAACCCAGGAGGCGGAGGTTGCGGTGAGCCGAGATCGCGCCATTGCACTCCAGCCTGGGTAACAAGAGTGAAACTCCACCTCAAAAAAAAAAAAAAAAGTAATCACTGTGCTTCATGAATTACCCTGCGATTCATCCTTACAGCAGCCTGTGGAAGTGCTCCCGTTTTACAGATAAAGCTCAGAGATGTTACGACAGCCGCCAAGTGGCAGATCCAGGATTGAGAAAAGGTCTGTCCAACTCCCAATGCCACATTCTTCACTTCCAGACCCTCCTTGTTTAGTGAAGCCCTTCTGTGTGAGTCAGTCTCTCCAAATTTGGCTGGTGCCATGGTAAACCACACCATCCCTTCCTTCCAGCCTTCTCTCAACCTCTCCAAGGGAGAATCTGGGGTTCTCAGGTATGATAGCAAAGCTTGGGGGATTGGTCTGGTAGGGACAGCAAACGCCAGAATTCAGCTCCAGCTAAACATAGGCATGGTCACTAAACCTCCGTCTTTTCTTTGGCCCTTTCGCTGCCCCTTCCAGGAACTGTGTAGTCTGGCCCCCAGAAAGCTCTGGGTGTGGGCCCTTCCCCTCAAGACTCCCGAAGCTCTGGAGAAGCCTCCTGGGACCTGGCTGATTGGGGTTTCCCGGAATCATGTTAGCGAGGAGGAGGGAGCCGGCCAGAAAATGTGATTATTCCAGGGAATTGACTCTGTGACAGTGATGGTGCAGAGAGGCTGGGGGGCTGCAGAGGCAGAGTCCAGGAGGGCCTGTGCAGGGGAGAAGTGGGAGAGACAAATGGTGCAGAGCTGGGGAAGGCCTGTGGGCCAATCTGGACCCTGGGGAATGGTCCCTGCTCCCTCACCCCTCCAGAAGTCCAGGACCGGCCCTTGGGAACTCCAGAGGGTGGGAGACGGAGGCGAAGGGGCAGTAACAGTAGGGAGAAGAGGAATCAAGTCACTCAGATACCCAGCCAGAGCCTCCAGGAACACAACTGTCACAGGGCCCACACAATCAGTCCAGAGCTCCTGGCACTGGGCAGACCCTCAGAACAGAGCTCTGAATGGAGCTGGATGCAAGCTATTCTGGTCTCTCTGCCCTTTCAGGAGTCCTCATCTACTTACACATGCACACTACCAGGTGCTCACTAACTCCCAGCCAACCTGTTCCACTGTGGAGTTCATCAGTCTTTAAAAGAGTATTCCCTTCTCTCAAACCAAAATATATCTCCCTGTATCTAACCCACTACCTCCTAGGCTGCCTATCAGCCCAGTACTGAAGACAATTCTCAGGGAATACTCAGACTGCCCACATACCTTCCACCCTCTTAGACAATTAACAGAACCAAACTCAGTACTCCAGATGTGCACCAACTGGCTCAAGGCACAGTGTGGCCATCACCTCCCTTGGTATGTATGCTGTACTTCTAATAATGCTACCTAAAAGTACATTAGGATTTTTTCCATAACCAACACTCATATACTAGTAGGCAGGACAGGAGCACAGTTAAGTGCAATGAATTTGAAGTCGTCAGCCTAGGGTTAAACCCTGGCTCTGCCATTTCCTGTATGACAAGGCTATATGGCTGGAAAAATAGCTGAACTTCTTGGGGCCTCTTTGGCAGTGAAATCAGCATCTACTGATTTACATAAAATCAGTAGCTAATACTCCCCTTAAAAGAGAAGCTGTGAGGATGAAAAGGAGTCAGGTACACAGGGCACCTAACAGGAGACCCGGCATAGTCATTAGGTTAATATGAGCCATTGTTATTGGCATGCGAAAAGCCACATGGTTCCGAAGAAAGTGCATGGGCTTTAGGGTGATCCAGGTCTGCATCAGGCCTGGGTTTAAATGTCTGACCCTGCACTTGGCTAGTTGGGTAAGCAACCTTCGTTCCAGCCTCAAATTGCTCACCTAGAGAACAGCGGTAATAATACCTGCGCTGAGTTGTTGAGAAGATCAGAGGTAAAGTGGGACCACTCCCAGCATCCAGAAGCTACCTGATAGCTTCAGATATTAATATTTGCTTGGGTTGAGCACAGTCTCAACCAAGTCAGGTCCACCTGTCCTCAGACCATGGGCTTTCTGAACCTGAATGTAGGACTTCACATGAGTCATGATGGGCACCCAGGAAATATTCAGTGAACGAAATCACTAAAGACCAAGAAGCAGCAGCTAAAACACAGAGGTGAGAAGATAAGGAAGAGAGGAAGGAGAAACAGCAGAGGATGTACAAAGAGAAGAAGAGGGTAGGAAGAAGATCCCTTTAGCCTTGCTTGGAATCTTGCTAGTTGGGAGGGGAGGGATGGAAGCCGCTGGGAAACAGCTAAAAACAGAACAGTGCCCAGCCCAAGTCTGTCTTCTCTCCCGCTCCACCCCTCGGGGTCAGGAGCAGCTGCAGGCAGCCAGCAGCTCCAAAATAACCATCCCATCAGTGAGGCCAGCTGTGTTGAGGCCCTGAAATAGATGAAACTTGAGACACAGGAGCTGGTCAGAGTATCTTCTGCAGAAGGGACTGCAAAGGTCACAGTTGAGTGAACTGATTCCAAGTCAGCGCACTGTCCGGGACCCCCCAAGCCACGGGAGAACACCATGGGACCAACCTCAGCCCAGGGCTGCACCACTTGATGGGTAGGGCTTAGAAAAACCAGATGGGCAACCTGTCACCCCAAGCAGTAGGGTAGCCCCACATTCGGAAGCAACAAGTTACATCATCGGTGCCAGGACACGCAACCGCCCGCTGTGGAGGACGGAGACGGCACAAGGCCATGAGGAGAAGCCACTCCGCTGACTCCCCTTGCATGGCCCATCATTCGGGAAAGAACCTGTCAGTCTTCAGCTCTCGCCTGTTCCGGTGCCCGGCAGTGGCTCTACAGACACCCTGGGCTAGAGCAGAAATAAGCAGGCCCTGCCACGACAGGGAGGTCCCGGGCATGCGTTTCCTCTCCTCTAGGTGGTGCTGGGGGCCCTACTCACTGACCTACTGTGTGCCCAGCCCTGGGCTGGGCAGGGGGTCTGGGAGAGAGAGGAGCCAGGACCTGG